TACCCCCGTCTTCTCTGAGTACACCGGTGCTACCAACACTGTCTGTTTCAGGTTGCGTGGCTCATTGCTCATGTCGTCACCCATCGTTTTTCCAACGTGGATGACGATATTCTCCCATGTGCGTATCAACTGGTCTGCCGTTCCAGATCCAGTTGTACCGAAGTTGAACACATGTTGGTCGAGGGCTTTGCATGAACCTTTCTTCTGGTTCGACGATGGGCTAGTTCTTCCATGCCCTCGTACTTTGCCGCCTCCTCGTCCACTCTTTCCTTTACCTTTACCGCTCATTGTCTATGTTACGTTAGGTGGACTATTTCAATACGTTGTTTTTTGATTGACTAGCTCTTTTAATTTAAGTTCTCGTCCGACTACTTATTCGTCTTATGGCTATGGGGCGATAAACTTCAAATTATACTCCTGGCTAGGGAGTGTTAAATATATTTACTAAAGATCTTGCAGGGAGGGAACGATTGCTTCACACACTGTGCGGTCGTTTCCACTCCGAACCCGTTTCTTTGTATTGTTGATTCCTTGTTGGTGCCTTCCTTTGGCCCCTGCGCTGCACTATGGCTTTCGCGCTTGTTGATTGGCTCTGACAGTTCCGGCTGGATGCTGTCGGCTCTTCTATCGACAATCCTTGTGGATTCTGCCGATGAAACTCTTGCTGCGTCGTTGACTTCAGTCTCCTTTCGGCCACGACCGTCGTGTGCCGATCGTCGCGTTGCGTCGGATCCGTCCTCGGATCCTCCTTCAGTTCCACTGAAGGGCTTCTCTCTGTTGCTGTCGTTCGAACGTCGAACAACAGTCTTGGTCTTGTTCGGCACGCGATCCTCGGTCGTCCGATCTTGTACTCGCGTTGCTGTCGATCCTTCGACAGGCTTGTCTCTATCGGTCTTCTGTCGTCGCGCCAATCCGTCGTCGCGACTTGCGTCGTCGCGATCCGTCCTCGGATCTTCACTTCGTCTGCGTCGATCGCGTCTCGTGTTCCTCCTCGATCCTTTCGCGTCGCGATCTTCCTGCTACCGTTGACTCGATAGTCTCTTCACTGCTTCGATAGTAGACCGCTTTTTCAGTAGTATGTTAGTTGCTCTAAGCTCTCTTCTAGTTTACTGTTGCTATTGAGATACTACTGAAAAGTGGGTGGGCTCTGTATTTCTACTGTGAAATTCTAGTACAGAGGTACAGGGTTGAATCCCTAATCGCGATATCCAACATACCAAGCCAGCGTAGAGAACTGCGTTGACAAAGCGGCTCACTTGGCTGATCCCCTGGCACTGGAAGACATGTATGACACCATCCTACCATCACCCAATTCCAAGCACAACTCCCAGAGTACCTATCAAGAGAGGAGAATCCAAACTGGAAGCATTCCATGACAAGTTTGCCCACTTTGGCAATTGTGGAATGAGAAGAAGCCTTGCTGATGCACTCAACCTTGGCTGAACTGCAAGATACAACCTCAAGATTAAACAAAGAGCCTTCCTGTAAGAATCCAGTGTAGCAGAGAGGAGGTCAATTCCAGCTGGATGGGAAAAGGTTGTACATACTGGAATCATTCAGAGTTGGCTTACCTGAATCAGCTAGCACTGGCTGTGGGTGTCGATGAACCATTTCCAAAAGCAGAGCCATGCCACAGATAATGGAGAGTGGTTCTTTTCAGAGTTCATGGTTGCATTCAAACCCAGCGGCAGAAGTATGCACCAAATGATTGTTATTTTGTGTGTGGTTGTACAGGACAGAACCACCGACTCCACCAGCAATCGAGCCACCAAATCCACCAGCAATCGATCCACCGACTGCAACAGCAATGGTTCACGCCGCCACCACCACCACCACCACCACCCACCACCACCACCACCTGCAGTGCAACAAACAAGAAATGCTTATGTGTAATTTGATTCTATACAGCAACAACAACAAATTCAAATGATGCAACTTTGCCATGCATGGCCAGCAATTCCAACCCATACTGCCATATCCTTTCCAGCCACCCCTCCACCGAATGGCTGCTGTCAGAGATACTGCCAGTGGTTGACCAACAGGAGAGGAAGACCACCTCATGATGCACCTGTCAAACTCGATTGAATGGATATCTTGCATAAGAACAGCAATAAATATTTAGTACATCACATTCATTTCTAATTTAGCAAGTAACTTACATTCAAAGTCCTTGTTGGTTGTTGCCATCAATAACATAGCCAATTGGGGTCTCAGCCTCCATTATACTGAAGTCTTCCATGCACAACATCACAAACTCATGATTCATCATACAATACTCCTTGAAGGAAAATTTGGGTTGGTACCACTGGATGCAATACCCATGCCAAGCATCCATGCAAATCTGGCCTTCAATGGAGCCCAAGTCATACTCCTCAGTGATCCTATCCTTTGCTAACCAATAGATGCACTCCATAAAGATTTCCTTCCTTTCACAGGATTGGCCCTCCAGCATTTCAGAAAGGGTAGCAACAACAGCACGGTACCATTGTGACTATCCTGGCGTCCCCATTCAAACATGTAGTCCATGATGCCTGTCATATCAGGAGGAAGAGGCTTGCCTGCTCCTTGCAATATCAATCCTCAAGAACGTCACTTCATGCTGTTGTGCCAAACAGAAGTTATCCTCCTCATCACTGTTGTACCCACAAAATGACATACTTGCAATTGAATCCTTGCCTTGTCACCCTCAGCTCATTGAATGGGTATCTGTTGACACTTTGCAGCCACTTGGAGAACCATGGACTAGTAGCAATCCTCATTGTCAACGTTCGGTGGAGGACGTTCGGTGGAAGGACGACGTTCGGTGGAGGACGTTCGGTGGAAGGACGACGTTTGGTGGAAGGACGACGTTCGGTGGAGGACGTAGGAGTAGTAGTGGTTGTTGTTGTTGCCAAGAGTTTGCCCCTACCACGTAGTCGCTGACTTCAAGACAAAATAGACCAGCAGGCGTCGGTAGAGGAAGGATCGTCCGTAGAGGAAGGAGTGTCGGTAGAGGGAAGGAGTCACGGTGTCGTCCGATCTGGTTGCACGCCGTTCGGTTGAGAGCGATCGAACGACTCTTCAGCCAAAGTAACAACAGTAGCAGCAGAGGACAAGATAATAGTGTTAGCAATCATTAGCTATCGCAAACAACAACCGCCATTGTCAAACAGTAACAACAACATTCTTACCCGGTGTAGGACGTCGCTGTGGCTGTGGTGTCGAAATTTCGAATTGTGGGAGGGTTTGGTGTCAGCCAAGGATTGGGAAAGAGCCAGCCAGAAGGTATCGGAATATCCGTTGGATCAATTTGAATTTGATCAACGAACCTCTCTGGTGACGTATTTGCTGACATATACATGTTCTTCGGATGTAGGAGATTTAACGGAGGAGGGGCGATGACCAGGTCATTGCCGTTTCCCCTCTTTCTGGTGCATTACTGGCATCTTCGTGACCAGATCTTTAGCCCTGCCTGCTCTCCAACCGGAATCTGGAACTCAACCGATAACCCTCTCCCTCTTCTTCTTCTTTTTCCCTCCCCCGCGCTCATGCCTAACCCCCCCATAAAGTCACTGCAACCGGTACATCTTTAATCTCCGTCCGGTATAATACCTTCTACTGTACTCGAGTACGAGCAGCTTCGATTTTTCTGATTCAAACGCGTGCCGGCTTTTCTGGTACACTTCTACGAGTGCTAGTGTAGAAATGTACGAAGAAGTTCGGCTCGCGTTTGAATCAACAGAAACGAAGCTGCCTGTACCACAAACTAGATTAGTTAACAAGGTGAACTCGATTGTGTCTTGTAAAAGCAGTTTTGAGGCATGGGACTATAAATCCTCGCCGCATGTCATCAGCTCTTTTCACACGCACGGATCCGGAAGGAAAGCAGAAGGGCACCTTCTCCTGCCTTGGTCATCGCCGGCAGTAGAACCACTCTTGCAGCAGATCTACTGATCTACTCTCCGCTGGGGAGGGAAGCAAAATCAACTCTGCACTTGGATCCGGAGGTTGCTAATAAGATTGCGAAACAAAGCTCCATTGATTGTGAAGCAATAACAATTGCAAATAGCCACGCATTGGTCAACTCGCTATCTCTAGCTCAGTACCGGAGTTTAAACACCGGTGCATGTACCGGTACCGGTAATTATTTGTTACATTGACCTTCCTTAAATCGAGATCTTTGATCTGGTCTTTGTGAGCTGATGAACACATTGGAAGTTGCAACGTTGCAACAGTCTACCGAAAGTTTCAGCGAGATATGTCATGGTGAATTCTGCATTATTTTAAACAGAGTGGTGCGGTAGTTCAGAAATCGAGTCGTTGAAGCGAAGCTATCAATCCTCCTGGATCCAGCACTACATGTAATGCATTAATGGGTTTATATTTCATGTTTCCCAAACAAGCTCGCAGAGGAAGACAGCTTAAACCCTTTTCTCCTAAACTGAAGGACCCAACAGCTGACCCAACCTCCTCATCAGAGAATCACTGATTCTATTGGATTCTTTCTGATGCAAATTTCTCATTGACATACGAGAAGTGACTCTCCAGATTCAGCTGTTGGGTAGCGAAGTTGGGACAGTACACTGTAGCTACCACACAGGTACCAAAGGTTCAACTAACTCTGGAATGGAGTATGGGAGCAACCATCCCAGCTACTACAGTAGCGGTAGCTAGCTAGCACCTAGCAAGGTGTTCTTTCTCACAATTTACATTATTTGTGTTGAGTGATCGTCCCAACTCTACTTCAACGTTGTTTTTGCGAAAAAGATACCAAAGAAACGACCATGACCTCTGAGATCAAGACTGATTTGCCAATGGAGGGTACCACGCAGCCTTCGTCGAACTGGATCGACGCGTACAAGTCGGAGGAGATTGCGAACGAGCTCGAGTCTGAGTTTGCGGACGAAGACGATCAGACTCGTTCCAACTCCAACTCGAGCAGCGACGAGATACACCAGCACTTTCTGAACGTCGAGAAGACTACGAGGCGCACTCGGCTTGCCGCCAATATGGTAGTGTTGATGGGTGCCGTCGCTGCATTCAGTTTCCTCTACATGGGAATCAGCTCGGCCAAGAGTGACACGAAAGACTTGTTCGAGAGGCGCGCCGGCGATTTTGCCAAGGAAGTTGATTCTGCCTGGCACGACTACGAGTCGGCTGCCAGCTGGGTTCACTCGGCTTGCCGCAACTGGAGGCATGACAACTTCACCCATGAAGACTTTGAAGCCGTTTACCTTTACCTCATCGCGGCCGGCCTCGATTTTTACGCTGTCGACTGGTTGCCAAACATTACACATGATGAACGAGCCGAGATTGAAGAAACGGAAGGAGCCTTTTGGAAGACCATCGAGGGCGCCGAAGGGTACAGCGGTTTCATGGGCCAAGAACCTGACCCAGAGAATGCTGGTCAATTAGTCTATACCAATCGCTCCGTTCAAGACTTCTACTATCCTATCTATGTGAGTATTCTTGCTGAATCAGTTTCCTTATGCGTCTCTCTGAATGAATCTCCCTCATCAACTCACTTAACTATTGTTCCTTGTTTTCATGACAAAGTTTGTCGAGCCAAAGGACACCACTGCAGGAATCATTCACTACGACCTCTACTCTGCCCCATGGGAACGTCCGGCCATGACGAAAGCAATCGAAACGTACCAGCCTGCTCTCACGGGCAGATTTGTTCTGGCCCAGCATAGCGAAGACGAGGGGTACAGTGTCATTCTGTATCATCCTGGCGTTCCGCTTCCTCCCGAAAAGTTCGACACGGAACGTCGGGATTTCGCTTGCATTATCATGAACATCAACCTGTTTCTGCAACGTGCGGCTCGGTATCAAAGTGAGCCGATGTCGGTCTACCTTTACGACACGACCTTGACAGCTCTCGACGGGGCCGCTCCAGAGTTCCTGGGTGGGGTTACGGTCGATTACAAGGACGGAGACCGAAACCAAAAGGAAGTCATCCTCTTGAAGGAAACAGAGCACGCATCTCTGCAAAATGCGCGGCTCTACTTTGAGCGTGACGTCAACGTGGGCGCAAGGACTTGGACCACCGTCGTGGTCCCCGTGGATGGGTCATACGAAGAAGAGTTGCCATTTGTGTATGTTACTGGCATAATCATCTTCTTGGCGTCCATTCTGTTGGCAATCTGGATGATTCACAACATGCAAAGGTCGATTCAGCTACATAAAGTGATATCCAAAGCCTCCGCAGAAGCCTCGATTGTCTCCAACCTCTTCCCGGCCAATGTAAGCGTATAGTGGGGAAAACATCTTGTTTCGTCAAAAGACACTCTTCACTAATCCTCTATCATGTCTCCTCTTGCGTTCCAGATCAGGGAAAGGATGATCCAAGACGCCGAGGCCAGAAACAACGCGAGAGCATCAATGACCAAGGATGTGTTTCGCAACGATCGAAAGGGAGGCGAACACAGACTATCAGAGAACAGATTGCATAGGCTGATGACGAGTGAAGGTGTATTTGGCACCAAGCCCATCGCTGAGCTCCACCCCTATACAACGTGCATGTAAGTTGTCGAATCGAATCAAGTCTAAATAATAGGATCATTTGGCTCGAAGAAGATGCTCACCTATTGTTTGTCAACAAACTCGACGCCCCAAAGGATTGCTGATCTCTGTAACTTTACTGTGAGCACAATGTCTGGCTTCAGGAGTCCTTGCTCTATTGGTGTTCACTGCGCTGACCAGCCATTCGGCATACTTGTTTCGTGCTGTGTAGGCTTGGGCGAGTGTTCGAGAGCCCTGTCAGGTAAGTGACACTCCAATCAAAAGACGTCTAAGCCGCTTCTGGGAACCACAAAATCTGATGCCCTCGTGACTATCTTTCTTTTTCATAGGTGTTTACTCTCCTTGAGTTGATCTATCATGCTTGGGACAGCATTGGGCAGCGCCGAAGGATCTACAAGGTAGGCTGAGATCGTCACAGGTCCGCCAAGTCCACACGCATAGCTGCTCACCTCCTTCAACCTGCTGCATCTAGGTCGAAACTGTTGGTGATTCATACGTTGCAATCGCCGGGTGCCCAGAGCCCAGGAAAGATCATGCGGGTAAGATCTTCTCAGAACTCTCGTTGATTTTTACACCTTATTGGCAACTCGCCCTGACATTGTGGATTGCTTTGGTTTTCAGTTGCGATGGCAAGGTTTTGTAAGCATCAAATCTTCGGTGGCTTGTTGGCTGTCTCCACCTGGTACTCACACCTCCAACTCTCGCAGCAACGGATTGTATGCACAGATTGCGGACATTGGTGAAGGCACTCGAGAAGGTGAGTTCCATATTAACTATGACTCGACTGTGCTCTTGGACTCCAGCAGCACTGACGAACATTTCCTTCTGCGAAATTCTAAGACTCTGGGACCTGACACAGGAGACTTGGGTAAGTGAGAGGTGGTCTAGTAGTGAGCAAAGAGTAAAGCTATTGGTCCTCACAGTCCTTGTCGTAGGTGCCAGATTTGGTCTACACAGTGGCCAATGTGTGGCTGGGGTGCTCCGAGGGGACAAAGGGAGGTTCCAGGTAAGTGCAACATCATTTGTAGACATGCTGACTTGTCAAATTGATGTTCTAATCCCCCAATTCCACCCAGTTGTTTGGAGATACAGGTGAGAGCTCACAAAGGACGGGGAGGGGGGGGGGGGCTTATGCTTATTCTTCTGGAGTGGCAACTCTCATACTCTTTACACTCTATTGCTCCATTCTGCTCCATTCTAAATCTAACAGTGAACATGGCAGCTAGGATGGAGAGCACCGGGGTAAGTCTCAATGCATGAAACACGAAGGCCTACTTCATGATCCTGATTTCTTAATTAAAAATGCTTTGGAAATGAAGGTTTGTAACAAGATCCAGTGCTCCCAGGAAACTGCTGACTTACTGGCGGAGGCTGGACGCAGCAGATGGCTGATTGCAAGGGAGGAACCTGTCAACGTGAAGGGCAAGGGCCTCCTCAAAACATTCTTTCTCAATGTCACGTGTGGTTCAAAAACATCGTCTTCTCCTTCCACTGACGACAGCCTTGATGACCTCGCTGCAGATGGTAGCAGGAAAATTGGCCGCCTGATTGAGTGGAATGTTGAGGTTCTGAGTGGTTTATTGAGGAGCATTGTGGCAAGGAGGTCATCCATGGGAAAGAAACAGGGGAAAGTGCTTGCATCCACTGTCGCTGGCAGTATGGTTTTGGACGAAGTTGTGGAGATAATCACTCTTCCAGAATACAATGCCAGCGATGTCAAGAAACAGATTGATCCAGAAACCATTTCACTGGATCCTGAGGTTGTTGGACAGCTAACAAGCCTAGTTCAAAGGATTGCTTCATCCTATAGGGCAAATCCATGTAAGTGGTGTTTGTGCCGTTGTGGTTTGCAACTTGAACGCGCTTCTGACTCTTGTCTCTTGGGGATCAATCAGTTCATTCCTTTGAACATGCCAGCCATGTCGTCATGAGTGGTGAGTCTAGCGATGTTGCTGGTGCAAGTCATTTTCAATGCTCTCCTCCTCACATGAAGCTTCCCCAGTTCTGAAGATGATGGGCCGTATCGTGGCACCAAAGGAATTAGCTTCCAAGAGACAAAAGGGCAGCATTGACCAAACCACATTTGAAGCAGAGCTCAACGATCACACTTTTGGCATCAGTGCTGATCCTCTGACAAGCTTTGCTTGCGCTTTCTCAGCCTTGATCCATGACGTGGGTGAGTTGTTCAGTTTTCAACAGAGCTATTCAAGAGTGGCATTACTGGAGTTGTGTTTGGCTTGGCTAACAATTGCTTCCAAATTCTTCTCCCTCAGACCACCAGGGCATACCAAACACGTAAGAATGGTCCACCTGATTGCTTCCATGTCGTGAGTTCCTCTGATTTTGTCCGATGTTGTGTTTTTTGATCAACAGGGTGCTTGTCAAGGAAGAATCTCCACTTGCTGCGAAGTACAGCAATAAGAGTGTTGCTGAACAGGTATGTTGATGCGACTGACATGGTTGTTGGTCTTGTAGGCTGCTGCTGAATCTCAAATGCTCCTACTATCTCTTTACCAATAGAACTCTGTAGATCTAGCCTGGGCTTTCCTGATGGACCCTGAGTATGACCAACTCCGAGCTTGCATCTGCTGTGATGATGAAGAGTTTGCACGGTTTCGATCTCTGGTGGTCAATGTAAGTTGCCGTAACAGAAGTGGGGTTGTCGTACTTTGATGCATCAAGTGTGTTCGGCTCGCTCTTTTGCCCTATTAACAGTTCTTATTCTTGTCTCATTTTCATCAGTCGGTAATGGCCACAGACATCATGGACAAGGAGCTTGGTGCTGCAAGAAAGGCTCGTTGGAGTCGGGCCTTCAAGGCAGAGAGTGATGATCTTGGGCAAAGCCTGCTGCCAGAAGATGCGCAGGCGAAGATCAATAGAAAAGCCACAATTGTTGTGAGTTCCTTTTAGAGACCTCCATCCTAGCCAGCTGCCTCTTCTGGTTTTCTCATCCTGTGATGTTGCTTGTCCTCTCTGCAGATTGAGCATTTGATTCAAGCTTCCGATGTGTCACACACGGTAAGTTTGAAAGAGTAGACCACACTTTGGTCCGCCACCACAACACAATTGGGACTCATTGACTTCTTGCTGTTTGTTACTTTTAGATGCAGCATTGGCATGTTTATGCAAAGTGGAACCAGCGCCTCTTCACTGAAATGTACAAAGCATACAAATCCGGAAGACTTGACAAGGACCCATCCGAGAGCTGGTTTACCGGTGAGATGGGTTTCTTTGACTTCTACATCATCCCATTGGCAAAGAAGCTCTTCACCTGTGGTGTTTTCGGTGTCTCAAGTGACGAGTTTCTTAACTATGCATTGATTAACCGAAAAGAATGGGAACAGAAAGGGGAGGGTATGGTTCAACAGTACCTGGAGGACTACCAAAACCAACTTGGAAGTGAATTGCCGGAAGAACCTATGTCCTTGGAAGTGTAAATCTATCCTCCCCACCACACCTTCCTTCTCTTTCTCGATTGCCACCTTTCAAGGACGCCCCTTTCATTGCCACCTCCACTAAGGCCCACCTTCCGTTTGATTGCATTTTTGTTTAGGACCCAGACGTAGCAACTACATAAGTACATGTATGAAGCATTTCATTAATAACTTTAAAACCTAGTCTACACCATACCGGTATGGTACTGCTGCTGCAGTACTGTGGCCTGGCCCTCACACAGTCCCTGACCACAGCACCAACCCAATGCTGGATCATTCATGTGGTTTCACAGCAAAACAGGCACCACAGCAAGACAGCGTTGCTAGCTGCTGCAGTGTCACATCTAAGTGTTCTATTTTAGAATAATAATTCCCATGACAATGACATCTGCCTGTTTGCTGTTTCTATGCAAATATTCCACTTGCTGGATGGATACTGGGTGGATACTAGCAAAGCTCAGCAAAGAATTGCTTGGCTTCGACATAGGGCTTGAACATTTTTGGAGGTGACCCAGGAAAATGCATAATCGGTGGGACTTCTCCTTGGAGGACCATTGATCCAGTGCTGTTGTCAAAATGGAATTTTTTCTTGAGTCTTCTGTCAACGTTTACCATGAACTTGTCACTGACTTCCAGACCAATGAGTGGATGGTACTTTGTGTACCAGTACCCCCAATAGGCCTGGTCATTGAAGTGTCCTGGATGTCTTTCCAGTGGAGCAAGCCCATCGTTCTCTGTTGGTAATTCGTGAAGGACATAGGCAAAAAAGCGTACAAGAGTTCCCAGAGTAGACATGAATACACCTGAGTTCAGATAGCGACCATCAAGAATGCCCCTTTGAAGATCTGGTTGAGCACATAGTGGTGTTGACACATTGCTTGCAGTAGTTCCTGTGGCCATATCAGTGTGGTAGAGAGGAGAGAGTGAGGATCAGCATGGTTTTGCCTCCAACTGGCACCAGATGTCCTTGCTTCTTACTGGTTAGTGGGTTCCAGCACGATGTTTCAGAACCAAACAAAATTGGGTAGGGTTGTGAATTGTATGCATCGATAATCTCTTCTGGTTTGCCTTGAATCACCACATCAAATGCGTCCACTACCACTATCAGGGTTGTTGCTGGCCACTTCAATGACAACTCCTGTACAGTGTTGGATACTGTGATGATTTTCTTGACATCCAACCTGCGACGCAACAACCAAATAATCCTTGTGAGCAGTATGATCCAGGAGCCGTAGATGCCATCATTGACTTCATCATGTTTCGCTTTGGCTTACCCGTCAAAGCCTTCAGAGTCATCAAAATGTGCTCGAATCAAGTGTTCTGGATTGTGTCCCCTATATGTCATTGAGCACTTCAAGCCGTGAACACCCTCGTCATTCCATGTAGTATTTCCGAGGGGTGTTATCAGAATTACGTCACTTCCTAAGTGGATGTGCCGCTGTTGCTTCTCTGCCAGTGCAAGGTGTAGAAAGTTTGGAGGAGGATTTGTTGTTGTTGTCTCTTCAGCAAGTCTTGAAATGGAAAAGTACTGCGCAATTGGAGCCGTAAACATCCCTACAGCCAACAACAGAAAGACCCGCCAATAGTACGGCCTTGTTTCATCGCTTGGAGGTCGCATTGTTTTGAAGGAAGCAAGCTTCGATTTAGAGATGAAGCGTCAACAAGGCCTTGTGTTCCGAAAATGGACTTGAGGCGGCTCTGGAATGAATGTGTTGAAGCCACCGCCCCGAGAAAGGTCGGCAGGTGTCTGCCCGAAACTGGCGTCTCCAAATTTCGGGTCGTTTCAAATTGCTCCCTTGGCCAAATTGTGGCTCCGAGGATAGAGAACGGATGAATCACCTGGTGCACGGCGTGGATGGTCTACGGGAACGAGCTTGAAAAATTCCTGTACCGTGGCTAAACGGTGGTTGAAGCCGGTAGATGTCCATGCTAACTAAGACTGGTACCGCCTCAACGCTGGATGTATGGTCATCAGTGAAGACATTGGAACCCCCCACTGCTTCCTTTGCAACAGGGAAAGGCTGGAGATCCTAAGAGCATCAAGAGAGAACCCGGACAACGTCATCAACTCATGCAACGAAATCTTTGGTGCCTGCAGGCACAAGGCCAAGTTTCATGGGTACATTAGAAAAGATAGCCCAGCACTGATGAGTCGGTTAGACGAAAGAGTCGAGTCGAGCTATAGAGTACGATGTAACCACAGCCAGATCCAACCAAACGGCCATTGGCGATTGGAGCCTTGAGAGTAAATTTACTTAAACAAGTCACTCTTTGCTGAAATCGTACCGGGTATGATCTTAGCTATGATAGCTGGAGGTTCTTTTAGTTGGCACATGAGGCAGACGCACGATGCCGATGATCCATGCCCTGCATGCTAAAGCATGAGCTAGGTTTTGCGTGCATTTCCTTCAACCGTAGCTATTCTTGTTGCATAGACTACTAGAAGCATCGGGTGTTTCAGTTCGGATATGTCAACGTTCTACCAGTCTGGTACGGGTACCGGTACCGTGACCAGGTAACGGGCAGTCTTTTGGTGCCATGAAGAAAACTAAGTGATCGTGGAAGCTGAACTGCGGCGCACCCCAACGGCTCCTACGATCAGTCCGGCTAGATGGCTTATTGATTGGGTCATCGTCTCCAAAACGCACCATGATACTGGCATTCCAGATGTCCTCCTCTTGGAATGCCTCCAAAACCTCCGAGCAGTTCATCTGCCTCTCATAATAATCATCAATCGACTTCATAAATCACTTCATAGTAATACATCTCATGAGCCAACCTTTGCTAAACCAGTTGTCATCACCGAAGAGCGTGACAATGGCGTCGAGAGGAGGTGTTCTTGTATTTTTCATGGGAGCGACCATGACGGCTGCCATCTTTCGGATGACGCAAGATCTCAATGCGCTGCCGATGACGTATATGGAGGATGCGGAGATGCCAGTACAGTGCGATACCGCCAACCGGAGAGTTCCGTTACAGGCACCTGACTTTGGTCCCTACAAGCCAGCTCCTGTGGAAAAATATGTCTTGGAACATGCGGCCGAACTGAAATTTGATGTGGCTCCTCCAGAATGGACTCCCACCTGTCAGGTCTACACAGATCCTCAATCTACTCCCTATCATGCGCAACTGCAGGATTTTATAGAGGAATTGGACTCCTACTACAAGTTGGTGAATGACTTTGACACTCCCATCAAGGATCTGAGAAGGAACATTACTGAATACGACAATAGCATCTGTGATTTGCTAGAGCTGTATCCTGGTGGAATGCCAGCAATCTTCAACAAGAGCCAACAACTCTCACATTCCTCCTCAGGGTGGCTAGAACCGCTCATTCCTCCAATGAGGCACCCTCGCTTTTGTTTCAACAAGGATTTCCACAAAAGGCCAAAACATTTGATACGCACCGACTACCTCTTGCACGACTTTCAGGCTCTCTGCAAGAAACTCAAGCCTACTAGTCGCACCGTTTTTGTGGACATGGGAGCATCTCTTGTCTTTCACAAGGGCTCACAATCTCCCGTACTGGATCTGATCCAGTTGTTTGGAAAATTCGGATTCAACTTTGATCACGTGTATGCCTACGAATACAAAAAGCACGATCCCGAAAATGTCTTTAAAAGTGTGCCCGATTATCTGGATGCCTCCTATCACTGGATCAACATGGGAGTCACTTCGGATACCAACAGTCGCCAAAACCCTTTTAAATTATTGCAAGACTACTTTGAACCCGATGATTTGATCATTGTCAAACTGGACATTGATACGCCCAAATTGGAGCGGCAGTTGGCACAACAATTGTTGGACAATCCACAGCTGGGAAAGCTCATTGATCACTTTTATTTTGAGCATCATGTGAATCAAGAAGAGCTCGCGGGCACTTGGGGACGTGGTAAAGAAACCGTTGCGGATTCCATGAATTTGTTTCAAGAATTTCGCAAGAGAGGAATTCCAGCCCACTTTTGGGTATAATGAGTATCATGATATGTGTGTGTGTGTGTTGAGAATGAATGGCCTACAAGCGTATGAGTGTAAATACAGTAATGGAGTCAACTTGTGTCTCCACAAAACAAATGTGGCTAGTAGCAGAACACGAGGGCTTCAGGAGCCAAGCCCCACATTTGGGGTATATGAAGGAGCAAATTGCCTTCTGAACCAATCGTCGAGCTAGCTAGTGTCGTAAGGGATAGCTGACGAACAGCAACGCAGACGCTCCGTTTCGTTAGCTGTAAGTGTACATCGATCCGCCTTAGCAGAGGCCCCGAGTTTTGTGACTACTGACGACGGCTGTAGTTGACTTCGTTCTCTTCGAGACCACTCGTTTCGATGAACAAGCACAAGGTCAAACTCACACAAGATTCTTTTCCGAGACTTGCCGAAATGCAACTGTGAGGGTCCCTGTGTTTGTGGCTGATGTTTATCTGTCTCTTCATAACTGTGTGTGAATACGACTGGTCCCTGGCAACAATCTTGGACTTCTTCTTCTTCTCTCTTGCCACGCTACCATGGATAGTCATGATCTCGCAACAGCCAGAAGAAGAATACTTGGATAACCTCATGCTCCTGCTTGGGTACCGTGCGTTCTTGCAATCATCTCGTTCACGCTTCGCTGCTGGTACATGGCTGTCAGGCCCAGCAACCGCGCCTGGATGCAGACCGGCAACAGGGAAGTGTTGAACCGCCTAGACGTTGTGTGGAGAGAGCGCAATTGCAGTGTTGTTCGAGGACTGCTGCAAGAACTCTCCCTGTCGTGGGCGCAGCTGGTGGCCCACTACGGTCCAGAGGCAAGTAAAGTTTGTCGGCTTTCCATTTATGTCACCGGCGAAGACACGGAAGAAAGACGGGAACTGGCCAGGGAGGTTGAAAAAGTGCTACCTGGCCGTCTCAAAACTGGACGAGCCAGATTCGACGAGATCCTTGAAAACCACACCATTGAGTTGGCCAAATCAGAGAGCAGGCAGTCTGTCACCCTGCTGACGTACTGTGGTGGCTCCAATGCCAAGAAGACTCTCAGGGAGGCCAAGATTAGGTGTGATCTCCTGGCCGCCGCGACAGGCAACGAGAAGCATCAGATGGACTTTGTGGCGGAAAACTTTGGGCCAGGTGCATGAAGCGGAGCCGTGCCAGTGGTGCCAACGGGTAACGAGTGGAGCCACGTCAAAGCCATGGAGATGTCGTCCTTGGTCGCTTGGACGACGGAAACGAGGACCAGCCTTTCATGATATCTAATGGCGTCGGCTATGGTTCGACAAGTTGAAGTAATCTTTCGGATTCTTTTTTTAGTTTCAGCAAATCCTTAGAAGGTCTAATACATGCCAAAGCACTCTGCAACAGTTACATGTCGCTTTTACCCCAGTCTAGAGTCCCTCATATCCTGTATCCTCGCTGGAAGGACGACCATCGATGATGTCGTCCCACATGTCCAGAGTATAGTCTTGTTGTGCTCGTTCCCACAAGCCTCTGTCTAAGCAGGTTTTCTCACCCAGCACACGCACCGTTTCTTGTGTCAGGGCATCTCTCTCCAAAGTATTTATGTCTGGAACGGCGACATTGTATTTGTTGCGTTTGTCACTGGACGGAAGCAGAAAATTGTGTTTTGCAGTGGACGGACCCAGGAAAGAGGATTCCGCCGCGAAGCGTTGCTGAGCCGGTTTGAACCGCAGTAAATGTTGCAACAAGGGGAGTGTTTCTTCCGTCAGCCGCTCCGTAGTTCCTACCCAATCAAACAGTTGGTGCAGCTTTCTGTAGAGCAATGCACAAACTCGTTTATTGTGTGTTGGGTAAGCCGCCAATGTACGACACTGTCGATTGAAGCTCGCTCGTTGCAGCTCCAGTTGTGTTGGCCCTCCTTCCAATTTTTGATCATGAAAGAAGTTGAAGAAACTCAAGCTATATTCGGTTGGTTCCCTCAAAAGCGTGAAGACGAAGAGGGGTGTGCCATGTTTCTGTGAGAGATCCCTCCAGTGACGCAGTCGTGACTCCATCTCTAGAACAGTGAGAGAATGCATGCCATGTAGCTCTACAAAGAGCGTATGACTTCGGCTGTGATTGAATGCGTCCAATTCAGTGTTCCAAGAAGGAGTCAACCGGTCCGCAATCATTAGACTTCCAGCTTTGTAGTCTTCAGGAGTCAATAGCATCGCGTAGTCAACACCAGGCAACGAAGCGCATTGCTTTCGAACAGTGGTACCGCCAGTCTTGGCCACGTGCCAAAAGACAATCACCCCGCCGCCTTTGTCGTCATTTCGGACTTGAAAGTCAGGAAGCGTTCGTTTTCTCGACCAATCCAGCTCTTGTTCGTCGATCAATCCATGAAAATCATTGGTGCATTTCTGAGACACCTGCATTGATGATTCCCTCGTTGGAGATCTTGTTGTCTGGAAGGTTCGAAGGTGATGTGCTAGTGTTTTCGATGTTTCCGCCGTGCTCTTGACTCTGGAACCCAGCAGTTGCTCCAAGGCGTTCGAGCCAAAAACCATCAACATGCCAAAGCTTGCGATAACGCAAAGCCAGCTAGACCATGGAGAAGAGTACGACCTTAGAGGTCGCTTCATGCTTGGTGTTGTGGTTGTTGATGCAGAGTACATGTATGACCATGCATATGTACTACTAATAGTATCATACGGCAGGAGAGCTGAATCTTCGCCTTGAATGAGAAAGGAGGATAAAATTGGATGTTCCGATGTTTCATCAAAAGTGAAAAAAATCACGTTTGCTCGTAGAGCACGTTTTGTACCCTAGCGGATAATCCAAGAATACCGTTCCACGGATCCTGCATGCGTATAAAAATTTAAACTAACCCTAACCCTACCAGAATTCAACAACATCAGAACCTCTGCTGCTTCCTTTGTTTGCCCTCCGTCCAGTACAGTCGTACCTGGTACCACGGTACCATACAGGTACCTTGGTAGGTACCGTACTGGAACTCAAGGAAAGACGCAACATGAGCCCTCTACGGCTTACTTGGTAGGTAATGTTTCACGTTAGATATATTTAGAGCTTTTTGTAAAGTAGTGCAAGACTTCATGTAGCATTCATGATCGCATCACAATAAGAGGGGCGGCATCCAGGGCCCGTCCCCACGCCCCCCGCGTTTGCCCCTGCAACAAGAGCAAGTTCTTTCAATTAGTTTGCCACAACGAAATCACGAGAAAGACATCTCTGGCTGATACTCGAACACTGATTCAAGAAACGTGACTTCGAAGCAAGCACAGACTGTTGCTTCATACTTGCTGTCAACATTGTGCGGGGTAGCTATCATACTTCTGATGAGTTCTTCATCATGGCCCGTCCTTTCAAAGGAGAGGCAAATCCTGATTCTTCTTTTGACGATTTCTTCCTTTTATTCCATGGGCAGACAGTCTTTGTGGCAGCTTGGATGGGAGGCTGCTTGACTTTGTGGGAGTGACCCAAGAAGAGGCACGGTTGCCTTGAGAGGCGCTAATAGTCCTCGATGCCTTTCGTTTGGGCAACGAGGGAGGCTTCTTATTGCATCGTTCAGAATTGTCTTTCCCCCACCGATCCGAATCGAACTGAAACTGAGAGAAATCAAGAGATATAGCAGATTCTCCCATCACTTCAAATTCGGTGCGCAGACAAAGATGGGTTTCTTCGGCGGATCCAATGGCAGGAATCTGGATAAACGTGGGAATATTCATGTTGTGAGCCTTTTGCCGTCGTTTGTATGCTCTGCGTTTGTATAATTTGTGATGTGTTTTGGTTTATGATCCTTTGAAACCTCTCTGCTCTCTGCACTGCACCTCTCCAACCTGAGCAACGGACCTGCCTACTAGCTACTGTACTGGTAGCTCCTGTCTTTCATCTCTTTACCAGTGGGCCATGTGGCCATCAGAAACTGTTATTTATTTGTGGAAAATGGCATTCCACTTCTTCCATAATTAAGCACTACACATTGACATGTGCCTTTCACTGCTTGTGCTGCCCTTTTCAAGAGCTCGCTCCTTTTCCTACAGGTACTTCCCATCGAGAAAAGAAATTTTAATACTCAAAGTAGACCTAGACTAGTCGGGAAATTCAGATCGTGTAAAACGAGACTTTGAGAGTAAGTAAATCGAGAGTGCGATCACCTTTAAACAAAGCCGTTCTGTATCATCAGATTTAACAGTGACGTAAGGCTTAAACATGTTGGTTACCTTTTGGTTTTAAGATCGTGTGAACATACACGCCTTACGTGGAAACGGTGGAATATGGAATATCCTCTACTCTTAGTTAGTACCAGTACTGAGAAACTGAGTAATAGTAGATAGTAGAAGTAAAAGTAAGTGTACCGTACCACGAAAGGTGCACATGTACCGGTACGGGCTGTAGCCGTGATGTAGAGTGTGGCTTGCTGTTCCATGCACCGGTACCGGTACCGGTATCTGCCATGCGCCCATCCAAGAAAGGTGCAAATTTATTTAAGCAAATCAGAGCTCCATAATTCCACCTTGTTCGCATGGTTGTTCTTTGTTCTTTGTGGCTTTGTTCTTCAGAGATTTATTATTTGTAAAAGGAAAACACAGAATTAATGTCTGTGCGAACTCATTGCTGTTTTTGCATTGTGTGACATCGCAGATCGAAGATTGGTACAGTACCTGGCAAATAGCTGTACTAATGTACCAATGCTGTACCATTGTACCAGCGTGTACCAATACCCTTGGGCCCGAGGTCGACCAAGAAACACCCACATCAATGAAGAAACAAGAAACAACATTTTTTAGGAGTACAGTCGTAGTTTATTTTACGAGTTCTGGAGTACATGTATGTATGTACAGTTACAGTGGGGGAAGTCTCTGTGCCGGGGCTGAGGTCGGCTCTGGGCTCTTTAGTCTTTCTCATTCTCCGCGAAAGCCCGAGACCAGCAGTCCGAGGCTGCACTCCGGGTCACATCGACCCCGTGCTTGAGATACTCGTGGTCAAGTGTGAACTTAATCCCTCCGGGGACTTTGTAATTCCTAAGTTAACAACGTGGTCAAGTGTCAAGTTTGTTCTCTTTAGCCAAGCCACCCAACCCTCCACATGAGCCCAATAGCGCGATTTAGAAGCTCTGACCCTCGCTTTCAGGGCGATGACCGCTTCATACTTCATACCGCACATGCACCGGCAGTCGGGACACCAGCATGTTTATTATGGAAAGCTGGTGCCGCCGGCTCTACCGTACAGCGACAGCAACACAGAAACGTTTGACAAAATAATATGCATGCAGTGCATCCATGACGGTGCTGTAGCTGCAACCACATTAGACAATCGAGTGCTCTTCTTGAAGGTCCTGTGCGGTAATCCGTAGTTCCAAGTTTGCCTATGCGTGGAACCAGATTGCAACGTCCTGCCTCAGGTTGGAAGTTCCGCCTCTCTTGATCTGTGAATAGAGTAGAGTGAGCGACAGTTACCTCAACTCATCCTGCTGGGACCAATGTTTATATCAGTGAGGAGGACCAATATCTTTTGCTGCTTGGCTGCTTTCCCTCTGGGACATTGCTGAGCGAAAAGAAAGTTCTGTCACGTAGAGAGAGTCAAGGTCCACATGCAGGTCTATTATTGCAGGCTGCTTCAAAAGATTGGGACAGGACTACAGTGCACCTATTGAGAACGCACTGAAGCTCGCTTCTTGGCAGTCAGCACTTCGATCAGGGCCGTAGGCTGGATTGATATCATTCCACAACCAATTCCGTGCTGGGGTTGTACCAATACCTCGGCAGCAGCAACCACTTTGGTCATTTTTCCTGTGACTTTGGTCATTTTTCCTGTGACTGTGATCAAAGTGCTGCGACGGGAACCGAATCTGCAGCCAGCGGCAGTCTGCTATGAAACCCCGGCAGTGGCAGCCTCCACAAGTCTATGCCACGCACACTGTTGGTACACAACTCAGTCTTCTCTTTATTAGCAGAGTTACAGGAGTGGCCTTCGCAAAACCAGGGATGCCCCACTGGGTAGCTAGGGAAACAAATTGCAATGGCATCATCAAGGTGGCCTTAATTGCGAAGATCCCATTTGGCTCCTTTAGATTCCTAACACAGCCCAAATCACAACCTTTTAGCTGCACAGTCTGGACTTACTTTGTCAGAACCTTTCAATCGAAGTCTTCGGTTGTACTCGGGCATTTAGGAGAGATGGGATTGTCTCACCTTTGAGTCAAGTATTCCGGCAACTGCATGATGAACAGGAAACAACAAATGAGGAGGAAAAAGGATTATTGATTTCTACCGTACCAGTACAGTGTGCAGTGTGCAGTGTTGCGTTATGCGGTACTGGTAGCCATCAACCGGATCATACATACCGGTACAAGGACGGGTTCCACTCCTCCAAGCGTTGACGATTCGATGGTCATTCACGCAAATCTTCCAAGATTTCCAGCCTTACGCACATTCTCATACCGTGTTGAGGAACAAAAGCTCCACGACACACCATCGAATATCGAATATTATGAAAGCTTCATATTCTACTTTCTCACTTTTGTCAGTAGGGCGCCATAGTCAAGACCAAGTCTAGCCATTGGTACAACAGAGGTAGATGTTATGCAACTGATTGTTAGTTTACAGAATGATGTTGAGTCTATTTCTTTGTTTTGCTTAAGGCATGCTCCTCTTGGGATGAAGACAAGGCTCGCGAGAACGCTTTGGTAATCTTGGAGCTCCAGCGCTACGTGTAGTGGCTGGGGGGTCCTTCTGTTGGCTTTCACAAGATCTTCGCGGCATCTTTGGTGGAAGCGCACTCTCACTTTTTCTTCGAGAGATTCTGCATTCGTCTGCAAATCCCCTTTGAGAGGAATTTCTCGCTGCTTCAGTCGATCTTACTGGCAACGTGGGAGGAATTCTCTCCGAAGTAGAGCCTTCTGATGTCCAACGCTCCAATGGTGGAGGCGGGGGCATTGCGAGCCAGGGCAAGTTGCCGGCTAGAGAGCTGTCGTTCTCAGGTTGGCTGGGGGAAATTGGGATGTGGATGTATGCGGGAATGTTCATGGTCGCTTGCTGTGGTATGAAGGTCTGATGTTTGAGGAAGAGATTTTTGTTTCCAACAGAAGAGGTTGTTGCGAAATAAAATTGTGGGGTTTGTCGGAACAGCTGCGGAGCACTGAGATCTGAGATGATGGAAAAATAATTGGAAGTGGTGGTTCTTCCTGAACTTGTCGAGTCATAATGAACCAGCAGAAGCAGAGTGGTTCAGGAAAAGCCTCGCACAATTCCACTCGTGGGTGCCCTTTGGAACTTGAGACAGAACTAAGCCCTTCATCTCTCTACAACTACCCTTTAAATGTCTTTGTTGCTTGGACAGGCTGGTCACTGGCTGGAACTTTTCAAAACTACTGGCTGAAAATGAGGACCTTTCTCAAGACAATCAAAAGAAAGTCCATGTTAGTTTTTTCCTGGCCAGCATCGATTAGGCTGGAGGATGAAGGAGTCTCCAAGGAATCAAGGACGTTTTGGTATTTAAAATGCATGTTACACAGACATACCACGAGTACTGGTACAGGTACAAACCGGAGCTAAAAGCAGCCAGTTTGGGCACTTTGCAGAGAAGTCAGATAAATCAGGGAGGTGCTCTGGAGCCAGCAACCATCACTACTTTCAGCACTGCTGCAACCCTTGCAAATAGAGCTTTCTTGCAGGGTTCTCTAATAGGGAGCAGTATTGCTTTAAAGATATATATAAGCTTATATGCAAACACCCAGAGCTCACCAAGTAAGTGAACAGACTGGGTCTTTTGAAATAAATAAATGATTCAATGTTCCAGTAGTGAAAGATAAAGATTAAGCCCCCTTCAAGTGCTCGTGGGGCTTAAAATTAGCTGGATTCTGCGGGAAAGCATACTAAGGGTGATTATCATAAATTTTTCACTGGGAAACTTCCGCCATTCAGAACCCTTCTGGTTACAAATCTGTCCTTAAGGTCGTATGAATAGAAGGAGGTTGGTAGGTTGGTGGTTTGCGGCCACACAGCCACACAGAGGTAAAGTTCTACTGTAAATTTCTGCTCAGAGTAGAAGGGAGCTAACAATCTGATCAATTAACATCCACTTGCCTAACCAATTTGTCAGTATGTCTCCTTGTTATGACTTCTTAGAGGTGAAGGTGGTAATTGGAACATTGGAACCTTTTAAAAGGCCCTTTCAAAAAAGTCAGGTGCGCATGCCAGTAGGAATTGTACGTTTTGGGTGCCGTAGGACTTTTCGAGTTGAAGTGACCATTAAGACTCCTCACTTCACTGACAAACTCGCAGTTTACTTTTTGCTGCCAGCAGTTGCAGCATCATTAAATGGGCACTTGCTTTAGGCCCATTCTATAAACTAATGCATATGTCGTTGCGAAACCACACCAAGAATAGTACGATTGCGTCCGTAAAGCCACGATGAGGCAAGTCCAAGCATCTCTTGCCCTATCCGAACTCCGAAATCCTCATCAGTTCATTTCATTTCATTTTTCCTTGGGCACACAATTTCCAAAGCTCTCACTTGGAACAACAGTCTTTTACGAACAACAGAATTCTTGTTTCACCATGGCAACTAATCACCACATCAACGCAATGAACCTCAACAGCAAGGCGATTGCCCACTTGCTCCAGGGAAACTACTACGAGTGCATGTTGGCACTCAAGTTTGCCCTCCAGACCTTTCGAATGGAACTGCCTCCATCCTCCGATGGCTCCACTCAGCAGCATCAGCCAAGACTATCTTTGACCACTCGTACCGTTTCTGTTCCCACCGGATCTTCTCAAGCTTGTGCAGGCGCCTTTGCCGTTTTCAATGGCGCCTTTATCTTTGTGAAGGACAATAGCAACGACAGCCAAGATTTAGTGGACCATCACCTCATTCCCGCGGTTCTCTTGTTCAACTTGGGTCTCTGCCACCATCATGAAGCCATGCGCGATTCCGGGTGCTGCTCCATTGGATTGGAGATGGCAAGGCGATGCTACAGCCACGCTTTGACCTTGCTGGAAACCTTCTCTGACGATCTTCGCCAAGCTGATATGCTCTTGTTGGCCGCATTGGCCAACAACATGGCCCAGATCGCATCGAACTTTATGGATACCCAGAGCACTCATATCTTTGGCAAGATGTTGGGAGACATCTTGGACCACACTGATATGGAGGCGCAACTGGAGGAAGAGGATGCTCACGTCTTCTTCTCTTTGAATCTGATGATTGTAACAGAGCTGAACTTGCACGGTGTTGCCCCAGCGGCATGAGCAGCCAACTCGATGACATCCTCCACATTCCATTCTGTACTATTAGTTACAACAGCCACCCAATAAATAGTTCACATCATACATGACTTGATTCATTCATTCTTCCAACTACTGTACGGTACCCAATGGCTGCCTGCCTGTCTCCAACGGAATGATATTGTTACTTCTTTAGTTTAGCATAGACTACCTGCTCACTTGGTGTACTACATGTACCGTGCCGGAATCTATCCCAGCTCCCTCCAAGTTTATACTGATGTTTGAGTTCCAGTTCCAGGCAGAATTCACATTATTGCACATCCCTCTCAGCCACGCCACTGTAACAAACCATTGGGCCACAAGGCTTCCCCAGTACTGCAGACTTGTTTGGTGTGGATGCAACTACATGTACTGGGACCTTGTTGAGAACCCTACTACTTGGCTAGCTAGCTAGCTACCGGTACTTGTATTTCATGCCGAGTAGCACAGCAATAAGAGTAGGCCCCTTGCTAGCTAGGGTTTGCAGCCACCTGTCTTGGAAAGGAACTTTCTCTGGCACCGGGCATTAGCCTGGCGAGGAAGCAATGCAGCGACTAGCTAGCTACCTGTAGTGTTGCTTGGTGTACCGTTTGTGGTCTTGATCTGACCAGCTAGCCATTGGCTGTTTGGCTATCTTGCTTGGTCGGGTGAGTGGCTGGAAGGGAGCCTAGCCTGGCCACCAATTATGGGCAGGACCAGCGTGGCACACACCAGGCACTCCTGCTAAGTCATTGAAGGACCTTCGATTCTTAACTTTGCTTGATACCGAGCCTTTGCACGATCAGCAACGAGGAACGAGGACGACTCGGTGCGGATTTCCACGATGTACGTACTCCTCGGTCTTGCTTGCTCCTCAGCTCGCTTTGCAGTGTGCTTTGTGTCTTGTGTCACCCGGCAAGGTAATTGAAGCTTGCAGGCAAGCAAAACCTAATGATTCTTCCTTCTGCCAGTGCAACACCAAGAGCTCCTCAAGGAGCTTCCCAAGGTGACCTTGCCCTTCAGCTTCCCAACCATAACAAACCAAACATTCCTTCATCAGATTCTGAAGATCTTCTTGGATCCGGAATTTGACCACCACTGCATGTACACTGGATGTACCATGTACCGCTTTTCTCATTACTCGAGTTGCTGAGTTCTTCTCTAGAGTACTGCACTGAGTAACAAAGAGCTCAGATCTACCTTATGTAGAGTACAGAATAGAGAATGGTGTTGCGATGTGGCTATTTGGCTATTGATAGATTGCACTTACTTCATCAGCTCTTCAACAATCGAGTTTTTTTAGCTCGCCATTGAGAATTGAGAACAATGATGCAAATAATAGCTCTAATAATGCTGTGGAACATTCGAAGCAATGGGTCAATGGGGCTTTAAGGGGCCAGCTGAGGACGGCGTGACGTGAGTCTTTCGAGGCGAAATGGTTGAACTGTGGTTCTTATTGAAAGGGCGTTCATGCTTGAAGCTTTTGACTACCATCAATATCTAATAAGTCAGTATGTCTACCCAGAACCTTCAACCCAACCATTCCATAGCTCATTCCATCTAGCACGGTATGCACGGTACTCCTCGAGGAGTAAGTGCTTTCAATAGGTGCGTGCTGGTTGCAGATCCGAGCCTACTAGCTAGTAGCCAGCTTGCTTCTAAAGAGTACCTGTTGGAGTAAAGGTATGCTTTAGGCTACTGAGTCTAGATTATGGTACTCCATGGCCAGAGAGTAGGTAGTAGTACACCCAGAAGACTCGACTCGACTCCACTCAGCGACCACAAGATCTGGAGGTTGGTTGGCTGGCTGGCTGGCTGGCTGGCTGGCTAGTAGCTAGCTAGATATAGAAAGAGCTGCAGTACAGCCGTAGAAAGCTCAATAGAGCTTGGTTGGGGCAGACTGTCGGCACGGTACCACCACCATGGCTGATCTTCACTTTCCATTGTTTCATCGCAAGAGGTAAGATGTAACTCTTGGCTGATTGACTGTATTTGCGTTCTTAATGATCGCATCCCAGCCACGAGCAGCAGCATCGACTCAAGGGCCAGAGGTTGCCCACTTTGTGCTCTTTCTTCTTATTCCAAACACACCATCAGCCCCTCAAAAGAAGTCGCCCAACCCAGGATCTTTCTTCCCCAGGCTAGCCAATACCGCAAGAGAAAAAATTGAGCCTAAACTTGTTGGAATAGAGGCCAACATCCTTCCAGTATACCAGCTGATTGGAAAGGGTATTATGGCACTCCGTCGGTCTCAACGGAACTTGCCATTGTTTGCTGAGTTGAACAGTCAGGTGCTGGGATGTTGGGATGAGATGGGCTGCATCGTTTTAGGCTCATCAATGGCCAACCATCCGAACACTAATTCGAGGCATTACATGGAAGAATTTTAGTGGTACATGAGTCTGTACATGCCAGTTTCTCGGTACTCTAGTTGTAGCTCGTAATTCAGAACACTTGCTTGTGTTACTGAGTACTCGAGTACACACTCAGTAGCTCTGAGTACACTCGGTTCCCTGGTTGAAGCTACTGGAAGGTCAGCGGGGCCGTAACTGCATGATGGCCATAATTCAGCCATAATGCGGGGATGCAATAGAAAAGAAGGCATCTGACTCCTAATACTCTCCTGTCTGGAACTTCAAGTAAGTTGTGCAAGTGTGAGCTAAGTGTGTGTGAGACCATCGCGCCCAAGTAGCTCTCCTGTCAAAATGCGAACGAAGTTTGTTGAGCTACTGAGGTTGGCTCCCCTTTCCTCACCAGAGCATCGCATAAAAAACAACCGTCCAACTCCACATCCTTTCCAATCAACCCATCGCGATCATCAACAACAAACCAACAACAGCAATAATGCAAGCATCCATCGAAGTCGCCATGAATACCCCCGCAGGAAAGCCACTGTGCCTGACGCGAACGAAACTTGACTACAAACTCCGTTCCAGCAAAGCAAACGCAACCTGGTCTTCCATGAAGCGACGCGGTCCCAAACTGGTCAAAACACGAGCTTCCTTGTTGGCATCTCTTCAAGAACACAGGTCCCGATAGATCTCTTGTGCTTCATACAAAGAGAGAGAGAGAGAGAGTTGCCCTGAGGTCAAGAAAGAAAGTGGAAACGTTGCAAGATCCACTCTTCACAGCCTGTATAGTCAAGTCATGTGGAACCCCCTGCGGGTAAAAGAAAAAGAGCCACACGAACGTGATCATACTCTGTTGCCTCAGTCCATTTTTCACAAGCATTCTGCATTCGAGCTATCCCCAAAGAGATGTTGTAAGACTATGATTTTCTGGAAAGCTAAGTCTTATCTGCAGGACTTGCGCACTGAACAAAAAATACATACAGTAAATTAAGTTGTACACTATCCACCATCCTTTAGTTCTCCATGAGCTAGTCTACTACACTTATTCTAGCTAGAGGGACTGCTGATCGTTTGGTGGATACGGTAGGTGCATCAATAATCAATAGACGACGTGACTCTCGATATATTTGCCAGGATCCGGGTCAAGATGTGAAGATCTCCAACGGCTTGACACCCAGGAACAAAGATTTGTGGATCAATTAGTTAGAAGCCTTGCTCAGGTAGCAGCGATGAGAGAGGTATGCATAGCATTGGTTGACAAAGAAGCCCACCCTCTGTAAAGCTTCATGTGGCAAGTGTGTGCAACGCGTGGGTTAGACTACAGTAGCAGACTTTCCTCCTCCAAGCCACCCTCCCCCCGCTGGTGACGTGGTAACTTCCCTGCTCTACTGGCTAACGGTGGCCAGACCCCTTGCCCGATGACCTAACCCTAATGCGAGGTCTTTTAACCCTCTGCGGTACAGTACTCTCTGTTTCGCCCAACAGCAAAGTACACAAAAAACCATCCACCGGAGATAAATCTTGAACTAAACAACCACCTAAAGGATTCCTTTAGTCGCTACTTTAGTCCCTCCGGTAGAGAGCGGCCTAAGAGCCTGTCCAGACGGGGTATGGGTGGAACTTCGAATCCTAGTTGACAAGTGCACCTCAAAACTCGAGTTAACAGGTTAACTTGGCTACCCTCTCCACACCGCGTGCACCCTCAATCGAAGTTTTGAGGCAACGTTTTCAAGTGGGAGTTGATAAAACTCGTGGGAGTCTGAATAGATGGAGTTGCACCTCTCCTCTGTTGATAGTCAATGCCATGGCTCTTGTTGAGGATAATAGACCATAGTAGACCATAAAATAGCAGTCAATGCAATGTACCTCTTGTTGCTTCTTGTTATCTCGTTCTTTTTCTCCAGCCAACAGCTGTTGAAGCAGGGCGCTACGGCCATGGTTCTCGAATCATCAAAAGGTTGCGAACGTTGGCAAGCTTCACGGCAACACTCCTGGAAGCAGATCCATCTCTCTTTGGCTTCGATGAACAAGATGACGGCCTTGGAAGACATAACACCCCACCTATTAAACGCAAGAGAAGAATGGTCCACAGCATCTTTCGTGAGATGGGACCAGGGTATGTAAAGAGAGCCTTTCGAATGACTGAACAGGACTTCTGGGCACTGCACCATTTATTGAAGCCTTACCTGAATGCTGCATCCAAAAGAAAGACCAACACAGGAACAGGAACCAAGCAGGAGCAAGACATAGGTGCTGTAAATGGAAAGATAAGCAGTTCCATTCGACTCAGCGTTGCACTGCGATATTTCGCTGGTGGTTCTTCGTACGATATCTCCGTGATGCATGGCATCTCTCACTCATCTGTCTTTGTCAGTGTATGGATGGTAGTGGATGCCTGTAATACGTGCAAGGCACCAGAGCTCGCTATATCTTTCCCTAAAGAACACAACAGACAGAAAGCAATTGCAAGAGGTTTCAGTGAGAGAAGTCAACCAGGCTTTACGTGCTGCGTTGGAGCTATCGATTGCATGCTGCTCTGGACAGAAAAACCACATCTTGCTGACTGCGAGGTTGCAGATACAGACAAAAGAGATTCTTCTGGAAAGGAAGAAGCGATTTGGTTGAACTTACAAGCCGTCTGTGACCATGAAGCCAGATTTATAGATGTGTGTGTGCAGAATCCGGCTTCTTGCTCTGACTATCTTGCGTTTGTCACCAGTCCTCTGTATTATATGCTAGAAGAAAAGCTGTTAGCTCCAGGGCTGTGTCTGTTTGGTGACTGCGCATATGTCAATAACACTTACATGGCCACACCTTTCAAGACGGCAAGAGGAACACAAGATGACTACAACTTTTACCACTCGCAACTTCGAATCAAGATAGAGTGTTCCTTCGGCATGCTGGTAAATCGATGGGGAATTCTGCGCAGAGCTCTGTCGGCAACAATGGGGTTGGCAAAGATAACAGCCTTGGCCATTTGCCTTTGTCGCTTGCACAACTTCTGCATTGATAGGCGACTGGGAAGGGAGGTGTTGCAGGATAATGAGAGGAAGAAGAAGAAGACTACAACCGATCATTGGCGGCAGATGAGCTTGAGATTGAGCTTGGAGTGGTGTTGTTGTACTAAGCCTCACCAAGAGAGCTGTTGGATGGAGGCGAACACTTTGACGACGTAGATAGAAGTCATTTGAGGAGGGAGGAAAGACGTCGGAAGAAGGAATCGGAACAGGGAATATTGCCACAAGACATAATGCATAAGATAGTGGCCGATGGAATGTACAAGAGGCCACCCATAAACTAGTCAGATGCTTTCTTCTTCTCCATTGACTCGACTCTTGATTTCAACTTGTTAACAATCTCCTCTTGAAGTCGCACTTGGTCAGCAAGAAGGAGTTCGCTCTCATCATCATCAGGATTGTGTCGGGATGACGCATAGATCCAATCTGTCATGAGTCAAGCGAGGTAGCATCTGTAGGTTCTCATTGCTGACTGATACGCTTGTTCCTGTTGCGATCAGCAAGGGAAGCACGAAACTTAAGGCTCATCCTTGGTCACTGTCACTGCTGCTGTCATCAGACGTCTTTCTTTCTCTTTGCCTTCTTCTTTCTTCTTCCTCGACTTCTTTGGCTTGGACGTTTTCGTGTCCACCTCATCCCCTGTTGCAGAGGTAGCCTTCGACATTCTGGTGATGACATGATTTAGGATACCGAATTGATCAGAAAGATGCCACAGAAGCAGATGCCGTGGCTTCTCAGAGAACTGTTCCCATAGATAATCCTTTCTATCATCAGCTTGAAGTGCCTCTTCGGTCATATGACCAAAGGTTGTGCGACCATCGATCATTCCGAAGCCGTGACCAGATCCTTCGTAGCGACTGACCAATCTGGCTAGTAGCATCTTGTCATTCTTCCATTTCTTGGTGATGTACTCCGTTGTCACTGGCTGTTGCACATCCTCTGGCCAATCGAAATTTCCTTTTAAAAGTCACCTGGAGGGTTGGTAGGATTGGTGTCGAAGCTACCCAGTCACTGTTCCATTTCTCAGCCAGAGCCGCGAAGAAAGTAATCGGCAGATCCTCACTGTTTCTACCATCCAGCTTTGCCTTTGACAAACACTTGCCATCTTCAACCAGTGCGGCCTTGACTTGATCATCTTCGGCAGCCAAGTACATTCGATAGAATGGTCTTGGATCGGCATCAGTCCATCGATACGAACTCTGCTTCGCCTCTGCCGCTTCTTGTTGCGCTGATTCCTCTACGATGTTTTCACAAGCATGGAAAAATGCATTCTCTTGTGCACGAAGGAATGCAATGTCAGTTCGCTGGTGATGGGATTTGCTTTGAGATGGCCGTACAGAGTTTCGTTCCTCCAATTCTTGGGACGAGGGAAACACTTGACAACCTTGCGTTCATGGGCTCTTCTGATAACTTCTTCAGACATCATTGGCTTGGTCCGAGCCAACTTGGACAGTTTCGAAGCCGACAACTTGCAATAAGGCTCTTCTGTCAAATCAGCAAGCCAACGAGTTCCATCTTCATTTAAGAGCCCAAGGCACATGCACATCATGAGAGCCTTCTTCTGGTCTTGCTTGCAACTGGCGAGGATCTCACGGCAAGTCTGTGACTGTTGCTTGGTGGCTGTGGGGTGGCCGTTGATGGTTGCGATTGCGACTGATCAATTCTGCGAGGAACGTTTGCTTTTGGGACAACCGAAGTGGTCTCAGTTGTTGCTTTCGCCCATGACAAACCAACTGAAGACCTGGGTATTCTTCATCATCTTCCTCCTCAACTACTACACTAGGAGAGTCTTTGTAGTTGGGAGTGAGTGGAGGAGGTCTCTTGTTGTATGGTGCGATTGATCTACACAAACTGAAAAGAAGAAATGGAGGAACTGGCGAATTCTGCAGCAGCTTCCTCCACCACAACACAAGCGAGCAATCTATGTACATCTACATACAGTAATACAGTAATCTCTATATCTACTTTAAGGACTAGTTGTTCTGCTATTGTTGCATGTTATTCTAACACATGGTAGATGTAGTCGTTGCGCCATGGAGGTACGTAGCGATTTCTTGGATTAGCGATGTTTTCTTCTTCCAAAATCTCGAATTGGTCCAAGATTGACCCAAAGACGATAGGGACTGTGATAACAAGACTAAAACTTCACCTGAGATGGGGTGGTCAACTTCGATATCGAAGTTGACCAGGGGGTCGGTGGTCAAGTCGTGTTTCAGATTTTGACTGGTAAAAGAAGGTCAAAACTTCACCTTCGAACGTTGAGTTTGGCCTGCCCGCGAACCCCGTCTGGACAGGCTCTAACCGTCGCTCTCATTGCCATACGAAATCATTGCCATACGAAAAGACAAAGGATTGATGCCCGACTTATGATCTCAGCACCAACCACATTGACACCAACGGCCATGCCTCCAGTACTGTCTACACTCACATCGGGCGTCTCCTCCGAAGCCGCGGATGGGCATAGCACCAATACTCTTGTTGGAGAGTGGAAGGCAAAGGCGCCTTTGCAGCCGCAAACGACACAGCATGGATCCTCAACCAAATTGAAGGCCGCTGGGGATTTGGAATCTTCATTCACCTCCACTATGAACAACGAACCCAGTTCTTTGTCCTGCGCTGAAACAGAAAGTGCTAAGCGCAAGATTGAGATGGAAGGGTATTTGGAGGCACAAGAGGAAATGGAAGCCAAAAAGAAGAAAGTTCGGAAGAAAGCCCATACACCAACACCAAACGTTTCGCACATGAAACTTCGGGCTGCTGTTGATGCTGGGGACAACTGGGAGCTGGATCTGGAAAACAAACACGGACTCTCCGACTTAGAGGCCTGTGTTTGCGTTGGTCTTGTTGCCAAGTATCAGAAGCAGGATGCTTTCCCTGATTCGGAGTCCGGAGTGAATAAGCAGTTTGTTGATTTTGCACTCAAGGGATGGCAACTAATGAAAGATCTAGACAAGCTTCTCAAGAAGTATCCGCAGGAAGCTGGTGAACAGACGAAGATCAATGGAGTTTGGAAAATGATCTCAGGGGAACCCACTTTGGAAGAAGTGAGAGCTGAGCATGAGAGGAAGTTGGTTTTGCGTAAATCCAAGTAGTTACTCATGAAATATTTGAGGGAAAAGATGAAAGAAGAATACGATATCTCGTCCTCCTTCTTGTGGTTGAAACAATGATCATGGCATACCCGTATGTCTATTTTGGAATCATGCAAATTGGATGTACAATGGCAATTTGATTTTTAAAGTGGTGTCTGTTTCAACTAAATACCACATCGTATGAAAGGGTCTTGAGAGATGGAAGAAAAAGGAAATGATTCCGAGGAGTACTATCTACTATCGAGTTAGCTAGTTAGCTAGCTAGCCAGTACAAGGATTTCTGGTGAGCGTTGCCAAATGCAAATATCTCTATCCTTGAAGGGGGACCGAGGTGAGATAAACCATTATTACCTCACCTCGGTCCCCCGTCCCCCTACTGTTTTTTATATAGTAAAGTGGTCGCGGGGGACGGCCGTTAATCTAAGATTCCCCTATCTGAGCCAAAGAATTAACGACTGTATCCAGTGATTCCCGTTGTAGCCTCGTGGCGAATGAGCCGTAGGCACCTTATTCAATCCGATTTTCGATTTACCACCGTCGCATGCTCGACGTACCATGCCATCATGCCATCACTTCAAAGCACATGTGTCCTCCGTCCACTCATAATATCACTTCAAAGCACCTGTGTCCTCGATCGTCCATGAACATGCCTCCCGCTAAAGGTTTCCGTGAAAGCAAAACAATGGTTCTTCACTTTCATCGGCACACCAAAGCAAACCTTAACAAAACGGCTGAGTCACTCGAAGTAACCCGCCATCATGGATCACTTATCTAACATTTGCCGTGAAACCAAATAATGTGGGCACTCAATTCATTGAAGGCATGATCATCACTGACAAACGTGTATGTGATGGCCAGATAAGATTCACTTTAGGTTGCTGCTTCCTGTCACCATGCACATATCTGGATGCCCCCCTCAAGGATATCCAACAACACGACAATATGGAAGTTGGTTCGAAACCAAAGCCAAAATCGAGTGGCCATCGATCTGACCTCGAAGCACTCAAATTGTCAGTGAACTCCGGAATAGTTCACGTCCCATGCCTTGAAATCATTCACCCCAGAATCTTCGAATTATACAAAGGCTTTGCCTACAACTATATCTCGGCTGCAATGCGCACAACCCCAGTGCCACCTCCCCAACTTATATTGGTATTGTCTGCAATGCAATACACGGCTCTTAGCCTTATTCGCGACTCGATCCTAGATAGGGTTTGAGTTCGACTCATGACTGAGTCTCTCGTGAATAGTCATTTGAGACAGAGTTCTCAATGACCGCTCTGGTCATACTAGGTTGATGATGAAACATCGCTCTAGATATTTAGCCAGCGTGGAGTACTTCCACGCTACTAGATCCAGGCTAGACAAACCTTCCACGCGTTCCGTTTTAGGATCGTGGAGAGACGTAGGATTACTACCGCAACCTACTCTATCACACTTTATAGTCTCCCGCGGGAAGCCAGATCTACGATCCCTTGATAATGATCTCTCTCGTTGATTAGTTTTCATAGCTTTCTAATCTCTCTCATAACTTTCATTCTCTCAAACTCAAAACACTCGAAAGATCTTTACACTAGCTTTTAGCGTAGTGCAACCGGTACCGTACTCAAAGCTCCCTTTGCCGTAGAGTTCATGGACCACCTTGCGATACTCTGTTTCCGTCAAATCCCTGGTGGCACAGCACTTCTTGCCGCGGTGTTGAGTCTCCGCTTTCTTGACTTCCTTGACCACTTCATTCACAGGATCGGACTTGGTTGGATTGCCGGAGGTTCCATTCCATGTGGCACCTTTGATGGGCATGTAGAATGAGATGGCCTTCTTGTCTTGCTCAAGAGTAGAGGAGCGGCAAGTTGGATTCTGCTCCAGATCTTTGAAGTCAACATCGGTCGTACCATACGCACGCCATTTCAAGTAGTCGGCAACGTGGTGTGGTTGGATGCCACCCAAAGCACTGGGTTGGAAGCGAGCCGCCTTGGTGTACGTCCGCTTGTGCAGCCAGCTCATAAATTTGATGAACAATCTATGGTAGTCACGGTTGTACTTGGGCTGCTCCGTGGGTGCTTCAGGAAGTTCCGGCACGTCTTCCAACCCAAGGGCTGCACCAGCATTGGCCATGGTGGAGGAATTGTTTAGTGAACTAAGCAATTGTTGGTTGAGCTGGAATTTTGGCAGAGTTCCTTTATAGAGTTGAAGGAATGAAAATAATGAGGAAAACTGAGGAACTGAACTGATGCTAGAGCAGTGGATCGATCGCACGAGTTGCACGTTGGTTGCCTCTTTGCTTGAGTATACACGAACGATTGAATCATTCCTACGGGTACCGGTAGGGTGGCTTGAGTATGCTCGAACGTAGCTGCTTGAGAGTACCGGTATCTTTTGCAACGGTTGGATCGGATCTTATTGGATGTGGGATCGAATCGGCAAGAGGTACGGTATGTTGGGTGTTACTTAAGCGAATATTGGATCCTCTCAGTATGTGGTTGGTCTTTATTGGCCGTCCTTATATCTTCACTGTTGCAGTTTATTTAATATTGGGAGTCTTATTGAGAGGATCTTTGTTTCAATGACTGCTGATACCATACCTTTTCTACGTAGCATACTGTCATTGATCCTGAGGGTATGTAAGATCCACATAGTAGCAGTGGGAAGCACATACTGAGCCTGTGCAACTACTGTTGCAGAAACGTAGTACCGTACCCGTACACCATGGTCCATGGTCCTCTCCAAAATTTTGCTTTCGGAGCACTGCGCCTGGACTGCAGCGCAGAGCAGTACTGTCCACTGTCACTCGACTCGTGACTCGACTCGATTGATGATAATTCGATTCGATTCGTTCGATTCGATGAATCATTCGAAGCGATGGATCTTTTAATTTTAAGCCAGCACATTGACTGACGTGTTCTCGCGAGAGAAAGCCGCTCAGAGCTCTGGTACAGTACAGTATGTGTCGTACCAGTTTGGCAAAGCATACACCATTGCAACAACCAGCCCGAGAGAAAGACAAGTGCACGAATAGTAGAGGATAATGAGGCACTGCGAGTTGTTTGCGTTGGTAGCTTCTGTGCTTACCACGGTATCTGGGTTTTCTCCGCCATGTGCCTCATTGGCGAATAATAGGTTGGACCCAACACCTTCACAGCCTGGTCATGAAAAACAACAGTCCCCTTCTTGTCTGCATTCATACGATGCGCGTGGTGACTATTATGGCGAAAGTTCAGGATCCTACATGGTCAAAGAGTTTGCGTGAGTGAGACTGGGTGTGTAAGATAAGATAAGTGACAGACTTCTCACTCTGCTTGACTTCACAATGTAATGTAATGCTGTTCCACACAGAGAGTACGAACAACTAGAAGAAATAGTCAAATTGGCCGCCATGCCGTTGCCAGAACGACCGGATGGAATTGTGTGTGTGGCCAAGTTCACATCATCTCAGATGGACTCTTGTGTGACGACCGAGGCAGAATACGAGCGTTTGGCTCGGGACAATCCAGCCACCATTTTTCTACGATGCTTTGCCGAATATGAAAATGCCGACATTCTGATTGGCAAAGCCAGTGTTCAAAGTTGGCCCACCTTTGACATTTTCTATCAAGGTAAGCCGCGCAAAGAATGCAAAGTAGAAGCTGTCGATTGCCTGATTACAGAAGCTGATCCTGTTGCAATTTATTTGGATCATACTGTACCATGAATTTGGTTACGAACTATGAACTAACTCAGGCAACCGAGTAGCCCGAGTTGAGGGTTCGAACTTTTCTGACTTGGAAGAGTTGTTGAATCGGTATCAGTTTCAGAATTCCCAGTTGGATTTATTTTCTGAGGAATCTTCTAATCCTTGGGGAGACCGTAGCGCCAAAGACATGAGCAAGACTCCTCGCACGACGGCTCGTTTCATTCCCGGCTATGATTGGGGCAGTGCCAAGGGTTTCTTTGACGATTTGGGGGACAAAGCAGCAGCAAGTTTTGAAGAAACCTTTGAGAATTGGGTTCCACCTATGGATGATGATGACGGCAAGAGCAGCAAGTAGTTCTGTAACGTACTGGTACTCGTGCTGGCTGAGCGAGTACCAGACAAACTTGCACGACCAAGACTACAATTCTTTGCTAAAATCGTATGAAGACTACCATACCGTAGAATACCACAGCTCCGAACCTAACTAAGTAGTAGAGCATTTTTAGATAAAACTTGCACAGTACGGTTTTGCTGGCTTGGCTGAAGTTGAAAGAGCCATTAGGTAACCCTGGCTACGGCATGCAACAGGGGCCAAACCAAATAATTCGCAACCGTCCAATCTTTGGCTGGTTGACTTTTACTCAACTGTCACTCCATCCTGTAATGCAGCTATGAAAGGGTTACAACATGCTCTCAAGCAAAGGCTGTGGTAATGATAGCCGTTGACGACCCATACCGGTACCTAGGGCCATCTAGACCAGTCTATGGCAGAGCCTCTTGGAAGATCCCATGCAATAATTTTTGGAGCTGAACTGCATTGGATCGTCGAGGATCGGTGAAGTTCTGATCGTTTTCTCAATGGAACCTGAATAATTCAATTACCCCACCTTTAGAAGCCTCATAATGGTAATTGGGGAGAAGTCAAGTCCAGTCGTATAATTCCTCAGCGGGGAACCTGTGATTTGTTTTATAATTTGCAAGGTGTGTTGGTTCGTGCTCGCTGGGGGTGTCTTGCGTCCACACCTCTTCGCAGCACCCAAGCATCAACATCGTCTGTTGACAATGAGCTGATGGAGTGAAAGAAGGAGGATCCTTCTTCGCATCAACTGTGAGCTCAATCAAAGCCCAAGCCCAAGCCCAAGCCCAAGAGATATTGGTACCACACGGCATCGAAAGAGCATTCTTCTGCAGCGAAAGAGCACCCTCGATTGATTACCAAAAACCAAAAGTACTATAATTATGAACACGACAACTGCAATGGTAGAGGACTCGGCTCCACCCGCAGCCGCGGCAGTGACAGCCGTGGAAGCGACCGCCACTCCTGAAGTGCAAGCAACAGCCGAAGCCACGGCCACAGCAACGTTGCCTTTACTACGCAATTGGTTGGCATCGACTGAGGCCACAGCAACAGCGACGGCGGAACCAGCGACGGCAGAACCAGCCACTCCTCCCATGGCTCCCATTCAACTGCTGGATGACCGGGTGCAGAGATCTTCGAGAACGTATCCTGTGGCACGAGGCATCCTCGACGTTGTCGGTGCCGTGGCGGAACATATTCATGATCATATTTATGATCATATGTATCATGTGCGACCAGAACCTGATAGCGGTTTGCATCAGCAAGCTCCTCAAGCACCCATTGAATGCCTTAGTATTCGAAGTGAAGGAGGAATTCTATCTTCGTCTGTAGCACCAGCATCAGCACCAGCACCACCAAGAACAACGGCAACGTCACTGCCAGTTCCCAATGCTCCACCCGAGTCTGTCCGAAGTGTTCCTCCCATGGACCGCGGCAGTATAGAAGAACTCAATGAAGACCAATTTGTTCTCATTGATGGAGACTTGATCGTCATTCCGCCAGTCTGTCCTCCCAATGAACAAGAAAGAGAAGGACTCGAGGAATACCAAAGAGACAGAGATTACATCACTCGACCAAGTTGTCAGCCAAAACCCATGCGAAAGGGAGTCAGAGGATTCAAAAAATGGCTCAAAAAAAGAATACCACGCAAAGAAAAAAGTGACAAACACAACCACAGTAGTCGAAAATCAAAACAATCACACGAAGAATCCATTGCTACCGCAAACAGCCCCAATGTATCACTGTGCGAGTTTACCACAGAACCTGGCGATTCTCTGCCAAATTCGTCTTTACAGGCGACAAATGCTACCGGTAATCCGACGGTCCACAAAAGATCACCACGCAACAAATCACCCATGAGAGCATGGAAAATCAAACGTGACAAACACAAGGATACCACTGGTACTAACACTACAACTGCTGCTCATGACAAACGTGAGGGAGGAGAGTTCAAAAAGAAACGAAGAAGTTGGAGGAGACCCGATTCACGAGGAACAAAAACGACTCCACCAGCCACACCCCCACATCAACAGCAAAAAGCATCATCAAATGATGTGGCTAGTTTGGTGGCGTCCGCGCCACCCGCCACGGATGCTGCCACAGCTTCCTATCCACCGGCATCCGCTGAGCCTTTATCGGCGTCCGTGCCCATTCCGCCCAACAGTGGTCATGCGGCAGCGGCTGCTGTCATGCCGGAACCCCCACATTACTCAGAACGACAACACGATCCATACCATCATAATTTGACACTTGAACAACAACAATTGCAGCCGCCCTCACACGCTGCCTTTGCGGCTTCCTATGACTCCTTGCCATCACAAAATGCATATGCTTCCTATGATTCACTCGATCAAGCACATCACCAACAACAACAGCATGAAGCGTATGCATACGATGCCCTGGCAGCTCCTACTCCTCCATTGCCGCCAATGTCAGGGCCGTCAACACAACATATTTCAAGTGTGCAGGCTAGTTTTGTCGGAAATGCTGATCAGGTTTTTGAAGCTGATGTTATTGGAGCTACTTGTGCAGAAGCATACATTGAATCGGCATACTACGCCGGAGATGACAAGAAGGATGAACCATCGTATTCACTTCTCTCACCAGATGCTGATTACAAAGTCGACAAAGCCGATGCTCCCGATGTAGAGTATATGTTGAGACGCGCCGCTCAAGAATCCGCCAATGACGTCCTAGAACCAGATGAAGCCATGGATAACAATGGATTGGATCCTTTGGCCATGCCATCATCCGTGCCGTTCACGTCGCCAGGCAAGAGTTCGGGCATGTCCTGTCCTCTCAGCACTGCAAAAGTCACCGACGAAACTGTTCACAACGATGTCCTCAAAGTTGTCATGGTAGGAGCTCCCAATGCCGACAAATCGACACTCGCAAGAGCCATTCGACAATCCAATAAAAAGCCCAAACGGCGCACCACTCTGGGTGTGGACGTACATTCCTGGACTCCAGATATGAGCGGTCAGGAGCAGGTCAAGTTCTCCATTTGGGATGTCCAGGGAGCCTCGCGAGAAGATGGAAGTGCCAATTTCGGGGCAAATCCCGGCATTCAATCCTTGTTCTTCTCGGCGAATGCGCTGTATTTGTTGGTGTGGGATCTGGCGTCTGACAATATGAAAACGTATGGGCAGAACATATGGGCCAAACTTGAACAGGATGAAGACGACGACGAAGATGAAGACGATGATGACGACGAAGAAGACAATGAGTTCCTCTTTGAAGAAGCCAAGCGTCAAGCAGATCTTGCTCTCCAAGCTGATATCGAAAAGCGAGTGCTGTCATGGGTAGAGTGCATTCGGAAACGAGGATCTGGATCGTCGATCCTTCCCGTAGCTGTCATTCCAGAGCATATGTCCACTTCGGAAGCAAAGCGCAGGTGTGACATGATGCAGAATCTGTTGGAACTCCATATTGACAAGTACCAGAATGACCCAACCATGCCCAAATTGCTGATTGGAATGGATAACGTAATGTGCGTGAGCCTGGCCAACAACGGAGGGATCCATGAATTGCAAGAAACACTGATTGCCATTGCCGCAGATGAAGCTGTCTTTGATCATGTTGGGACGCCCGTGCCTGGCTCCGTCGCGAGAGTTTTGGATACCGTCCGGCGGCTCAAACAAGACCACAAGTTGGTTCGTGTGGACCATTTGATGTCTGAGCTCGGCAAACACATCCCCAGCTATGAGGAGATTACACACGCGCTGCATTTTCTGTCGAGCATTGGCGAATTGCTGTATTTTGGGAATGACCATGACGAACTTCTCTCTCGATACATTATACTGAGTCGAAAGTGGTTTGTCTCGGCACTCAGTTGTATTTTGAGAAATGACTTGAAACGAGAGCTGTCGGAGACTCGGCGGTTCATGAATATGCAGTGTATCTATTCCAATCAGCAGTTCCCGGAAAGCTCGGTTATACAATCCCTGACGGATGGGAATGCATCGAGCTGTCCCTTGTTGAGTTCCACGGACACAAACATGTTGTGGCTGAGCATGCAGTTCATGAGGGAGGCCGCCGATCGATCGTCTCAGTTGTCGGAGAACTCCACAACCTCGTCAACAATGTTCGGTTTCCTCGAGCGTTTGCTGGTGCAGTCGGGCGTGTTTCTGCCACTGAATGTTTCGAATGGTTTGGGCGACCCCGAGGTATACTTTGTTCCGAGCCTCTTGGCGACAACCACAGATAATAACGATGTCTGGACATTCAAATCGAGCGAAAGTTGGATGACAACTTTGTGTCATTCTTGGCTGTAAGGAAGAGCAAAGAATTGAATCGAATCGTTTTTTGCTCTCGCTTTCTCTAACACCTCTTGCCGCCATTTCTTCTCTTCAGGTTCAGGGACGGAGCACCCTGTGACTTGATGGAGCACATCACTGTGGCTTTAGTGCGCGATATTCATGCTTTCTCAAACACTTTTGCGACACTCGAAAAGACCCCTCCCCATCGTACCCAAACTTTCCCTTTGGTCCGCTCCGGAGCCAACGACTTCCTCCAAGCCCACGATTCCGAGGCGATTGGGCGCATCCGAATCCACCAAATAATGTGCTGGCAATCGTCCTTTTTGGTCAAGATCGGCTCCATCTTTGCCGATTCTGACAACGGCGAGTTGAAAGAGAGCTTCACCGAGGTCTTTGTGACCCTGGTGGATCAGAGTTCCAGCCACTGTGTTGCTTCGGATGCCATGCGTGCAACCATGCAACGATTGGTCGTCAGTGGCAGAGGGCAGGCGGGATCACACGGTGCCAAGCTTTGGCGAGGTGGCCTTGAGGTGGTAATCGGCTCAATCCAAAAAACGCTTGGCGATTTCTCCAACATTGACCGACAGGTCGTTTGCCCAGAATGCTTGGCTCACTCGCAACCCAGAAATGCCAGCACATGGAGTTGGGACAGTGTCAAGGCTGCTGCCGAAAGCGGCTCTTCAATTGTCCGATGTATCCGAGGGCACCGCGTCGACTCGAACTTAATTTGTGGGACCGTCAAGCGGCAAGATCCGTCTAAGATGGAGGACCCCTCTAAGATGGCCATTAAGCCAGTGCCAGAGTTGCTCCCCAGTGTTGTTCTGGTGGGTCTCTGGGACGTTGCCAGCAAGGAGATTCGCAATGTTGGCTCTGGATTTGTTGTCGACAAGAGGCTTGGGTTGATCTTGACGGCCGGCCACGTGCTTTTTGATATGACCGAAGGAAAAAATTTCGGCGCCCCTTACTTTGGGCTGAAGAACGCAAGAGTCGTGATTGGCGTGATTCCGGAAGGCGGCCAAAAACACAACGCTGTCTACCGCTACTTTGCTGAGATTATAGCGGACGACATTAGCTCCGTTGATGCATGTGTGGTCCGATTGACGTCGAAGCTGCACGGTGACATCAATGGAGACATGTCCCAGCAACCAGGGGAAGCTTTTGGTGAGAGCCCACTGAATCTCGAGGCAATTCACCAGGAGAGTCTCAAAACCCTCAAGCTGACAACCCGCTTTGAGCTTGAGGAATCAGTGAGGATACTGGGATTCAACCAGGGTGGGGAGGGTGTACTGGAGCAAGGAAAACATGTAAACCGATCGGCGGACTTTGCAAGGGGTTATATTGTCAAGAAGTTCGTCGCCCCGCCAATGTCAGAGGACGACAGCAGCCACAGTTCAGAACAGAGCACCAAATCGATGTGCTTTGTGCCCCGAGAAGAGGTTGTGGTGATTTGCCCAACAATAGCAGGACATAGCGGGGGTCCTTGTGTGAACAATGATGGCAGGGTTGTTGGAATCTTAAGCCGTGCAGATCCCGGAGAACGACAACGATGCTACTTGGTTCCAGCGAGCGAAATGAAAGACCTCGTGAAGAAGGCAAAGAAGCATTTCACAAGGCCGTCCATGATGTTGTAGATCCTAAACTCGTAAGTCAACCTGGACTACTATCAATAATTCCATCCAGTAGGTAGATTTTGCCCCCTATGTAGGCGGGGTTTTAACCACCAGTCGCGCCGAATCCTCCATCGCCCGACAGGAAGTAACAGTGTTGTGCAGTCCGACACCCTTTCTAGTTATCCCTCCCTTTTCGAAGGCAGCCACAAATTTGAGGACCAAAGCAGCACCAGAAAGGCTGAAAACCTGTTGTCAATCCAGCTATCGAGCCAGGTTCTGTCGAACCCAAGCCTGATTGACTTGAGTGCGGGGACACCAGAGGAGAGAAACTTCATGCCATCGATGTTTCAAACGGAAGCATAAACCAAGAGCCAGGACACGGCTAAATGGGATCCAATCTACCGGTACCGGCATGTCTGTGCTACCTTCCCTGCAACAGTTTTGCCTCCAGAAGGTTCCACTTGCAGTCACCTTGTGCACCAGTCGCAATGGATAGTTGGCCCATACTGCGTTAGTAACATTCGTCACAGCAAGAACACGCAACTTTCAAAGAGCAGTCGGCAGCAATGTGTCGGAGCCGTTTGAAGTTGAAAAAACCTTCTTTCAAAGAGCACACTTCATCCGGGATCTTGCCAGTCAGATGATTATTGAACAAGAGCAGTGATTTCAAGTTAGTCAAGCCAGAAAGACTAGAGGAGAGAGTACCAGAGAAACTGTTGCCTTCCAAAGCCAGGGCTTCTGCAAACATAGCCAAAGAAAGACCCATGAGATTACTTGGTATGCTCCAATAACAAATGGATCAACACGCGGCCCTACCAAGTCTTTCCGTTGCTGCCAAGCTCTCCGGGAGCTGCCCAGTAAAGTTGTTTCCTCGCAGAGAGAGTTGTGCTGTCAAAACAAGCAACAGGTCCAGTTAGCGTGATCAACGGAGCACTGGTATGCAAGATCACGAAATGGTTCAAACCTACTCATGTTGGGAAGAGTGTAGAAGACATCGGGAACCGCTCCATGGAGCCTATTGTTTTCGACTGTCAAGACCTCTGCGTGAATCAAATAGGACGATTGCCCTGGGTGAGCTCAGATAGAGTATCAAGACTACTAGATAGAAGCACCAATCATTGAACAAACCTAAATTGATCATGTTGGCCAAATCTGTTGACAAAGTACCACTGAAGAGGTTATCCCCTGCCCTCAGCTCCACTATGTACAAACAGAGAGATAACTTGGGGTCAATAGCAAGCATGCAGCTGTAACTTCCAAGGTTTTGCTGACTTACGCAGACTTGTGAGCATGAAAACCCCTGTTGGAAATGGCCCCGTAAAAACATTGTCTTGGATTTCAAGATGCTCTATTGCGATAGTGCAGACACACATCAGTGCGTTGGACGCCTCCTCGACATGATGAGCTCACGTTTGCAACTAGCACTCACCTAGCTTTTCCAGGTGACCTATAACGGGGACCCTGCCTGCCAGCTGGTTGTGATCAAGCTGAATTCTTCGAAGATTCTCTGAGTACTGAAATGCATGGTCAGGCAAAGTCCCCACAAAAGCATTTCCAGATAGGTTGATCTCTTCAATGTCTTTGCACGTATGCATCCAGTCAATGGGGAGATTGCCACCCAGTTGATTGTCTTGCATGCGCAGTTTCCGAAGATGTGGCCATGAAACCAATTCACTGATGGCGGTTTCGTTTTCCAGCTCACGTAGGCTCAAGTCTCCAGTGATATGATTTCCACTCAAGTCAATGGACCGGAGGCTCCAACCGAGCGATACTGTCATCTCTCTCAAAGGAAATGTTCCACACAGCCCATTGTGCGTGAGGTTCAGAGCAATGATCTTTTCATTTTCAGCTGCCTCGGGGTCACAACCAATTCCTCGCCAGGTGCAGACCGACTTTTTGCTTAACCAATGATGGCTATGGAACCAGGAAGACTCATGTTCCATATGATACAAGAATGACGACGGGAAGAAATCTGTGTTTGCAGTATCTATAATGGTCGCTGCATCGAGTCTTGGAGGGTGCCGTCCATGAGTTGAATAGTACAAGACAGCTAGGGCATACCGTTGGAGTAGCCTGTGGTGCTGGAAGTCATGTTCTTGCTCCCCGTGAAACGTGCCTTGGTGTGCCAGCCATACGAGAGCCTTTGTTTGCGGGTTCATTAATTTGAATTGATCGTAGTCATCATGGAAGTGTGCCCAATCAAAGTCGCCAGTTTTTGAGACTCTATGCTTTACAATCAAAGCTTGTAGCTCAGACATCTTTTTCTGTAGGGACGTGACTATTTGTGTCAACTCACTCAGCTCAGCTGTCATTCCAGATGAGATCTTGACAGGATGAGGAGGAAGCATAACGGTCCCATCGCGGAAGTTGTCTTGGTCATTGCCTTGCACCTCGAGAACATCAACGAGGTTGACTCCTGACTTTGATGCTTCACCAACACCCACCACATTCGACACAGAGGGGACAAAGAGTATCACCGCAGCTCCAGCCGCAAAAATGATGACCAAGATAATAAAAGTGGTCCAGCTACAAAAGTACGTTTGCTTCTTTTTTGCATGGGAGAAGTCATCCTGGTAGGTTAGTGTCGAGTCTTCCACATAGGCTTCCGAGATGAGACCAAGAAAAGTTGTACTAACCCTGTCCTTTCTCTGTGGCCGGGAGGCGTACTTCTTTGGTCGTGATGGAGCACCCATTCGTCTGCCACTTCCGGAAACGCTGGATCTGCCACTACTTCCGATACTGCCACTTTCGTATTGTCCTGCGTTGGCATCCATGAGGTTGACACTCTGATCAACCGCCGGCTTGCGTTGTGGAAACAACGAGGTACTAGCAGACTTGTCCTTAGCGGACGATGAAGCTGCCTTGGTAGCATCTGTACCTGGCTTGACCTTCAAGTCACCAATCTTGCTCTTGGTGTCATAGTCATCCAACAAGATGGTCACATCCACAGATCCCATACTCGTATCTGTACCACTTATCCTGGACATTGGTTCATCCCTTCCCTTTTGGTGGAATAGGTGAGCATCCAAACTCCCCTTTTGTGTGAGGGGCGGCGGGAAGCCCATGTCAAAGTCGTCATCTTCTTCATCGTTCTTTCTCGCATGATAGTTGAGATGTGATACTGACGAGTGCTTGAGATCTTTCGTCGTTTGACCAGATGTAGTTTCGTCGTTCCTGTCCGAGGGAATGCTACGGAGGCTTGAATTCGATCCCGACCTCGCTGGACTGTTGCGTAAGCTCCGATTGGATCCAGAGCGCGTCGGGCTATCGCTAAGGTTTGGATTGGATCCTGTGCGCGTGGCGCCTCTAGACCGAGAGGAGTGGTCCTTAAGAGGCTTTTTGTAAGATGGCTGTTGTCGCGTAGGTGAACTACTTCCAGGTCGACTTGTGCTTCCGCTTCCTCCGGCTAGTAGATCATGCGTCTTGGCTCCTCCACGAGCAAAATCTCCAGAGACAGTACCACTTCGTTGGAACTGTTGCGTACGCGGAGTGGGAGAGGCTACGATAAATTCTTCCGAATTCGATCGAGTAAGGCGTGGCGCCGGAGATAGCTCTGACGAGGACGGCTGTTCTTCTGCCAAAGACGCGCCTATCCCTTGAAATGAATCCTGCATCAATGACTGTTCTGCCCTCATGGTTGCCTGGAACGTGGCCGCTCGAGAGCTGTCGGCTTTTTCTAGCACAGCCACAAAGTCGTCCTCTTCTTCGCCTTCGTCAGTCTCGATGCTGCTGGCCGATTGCTTTGGTTCCACATTGAGTTTCTTGGATGCTCCAGAAGAAGACGAATCTGGTTCCTTGATGTCAGGAGGAGCAGTCGTGGGAATGATCGTTCCCCGCTTGATCCGAGCCTTTGCTTTTTCCAGCAATGCTTCAAAATCATCTTCGTCTTGGCTGCTCTCTAGTTCCCGCATGGATGACATGATGGACGAGACATACTGCGACTGCTCCGAGGAATCCATGTTTGCTTGGGTTTCTTTGATTTCTGCAACCCGTGCCTTGGCCTTTTCCAGTAGTGCCAAGACGTCCGCTTCATTATGAAATGGAGCCAGTTCACGAGCAGATTCCATGACCGCCGTTACCCGATCAGTGCCAGGCTTTGCAGCCCGTGTTCGTGCCATGTTCAGTAGTGCCATGACATCGTCGTCGCCGTCTTCTTCCTCCTCCTCCGTGGATTCATCTGCCCCCGAAGAAGAAGCTTCGGACTCTTCAAAAGATGACATGGTAGACTTGCTACAAACAAAGACAGTAAAGCAGCGAATCAAAAAGTGAGCCACACGGCAACAAGACTAGCAAAGGTGCCAACCCAACAATTTCTACCCGGCTCACAGCACTTGTGATTTGTAATGTATCGATAGGCTTTGATTCGATTCTCCCTGATTTTCAATCTTTCGATACTCCACCGCTCATCAGTTCGAATGGATTGGTGCGAGGCTATTCCTTCCACCTGCTTTGGTTCCGTTGCAGCTTGATACAGCTATCCACTGATGGTTGAGATGCATTGCTTGCCGAAGCTGGCTTCCTGGCTGCTGTGCCAGGTCCTTGCAGATGCCAAATTTGCAAAATGTGAGGATCAATGCCACCATCCGGTAAGCCTCAGGGATTTAAACGAGCGGTACCCAATGGTGTTTAAAGCTTTAAAGGAGAGTATTCTGGATCGTACATGTACTGGATCGTTTGGAATCCAAGGTTTTTGTTAATTAATAAGTCGGCGGAAGCTGCGACAGTACCAGTGAGGAGGAGTTTGCTTGAGTTTGCACCCTGACAAAGCTTCCCATTGACCTGGACGCACGGCAATTGTAACGCGGCCGCACGTTGCCACCGCTGATCTATAATTTACAGTTCCCGCGCTTTGATTCGATTCTGGGGGTCAAAGATTGGCTCGCCTGAGGATCATGCTTGCATGATTCGGAACTGGCATGCCCTTGAACACTGCTGTCCCCAACCGTGACTTGAGGGAGACAGGCATGACGGCCACTGAAATCCGTTCAAGGCCGACGAGTGCCAGTCTGAAGGATCCCGACGCAACTCAGGGAGACGGATTCATAGATTGACACTGCTCCTCTACAAGATTTCTTTCTGATTGTGGTGCAGACAAGAGAGCTGCTGCTTCCGACTTTGACCGTTGGAGCTGCTCCCTAAGGTGGCTGACTTGGCCAATCAACTCGGTCGGCGACAGCACAGACAGGATCAATTCTCCCTCTCTGCCATCTTCAGTCCCACTCGTAGTATCTGCGATGACTTCACCAGCTGGAGGGGGGACCAAACCACTTACTCGGACGGAAGAAGACGAACGTTTTTTCCGAACGAACATGATTTTTGGAACAAAGATCCAAAGTAGGGTGTTCGTGCTGGTAATGAAGACAATGGCAGATCTCACAAATATCGTGGCATTGGGATCGTCCGAGGCCAAAATCATGACGGGGCCACAGGAGAACACAACTGCAATCGTAGTAATCAGAGACTTGAAGACAAACTTGCTCTCGGCAAACTCAGTGGATATGTTTCGAGCTCTCCAGGCCTGAAAGATGGCCACAGCAAAAATGCAAAAGTTGATGACTGCCAGAGTCACAATGTAGGGGATTTGACTTGACTGTATTGTGCAAGTCCCATATGTTTCGGAAGGCACTCCTCGCAGGGTATCCGTTTTTGTGACGACAACCGTCCACTCCAATGGATCCAGTGCTGTCATTAGAGATAGCACAAGTATGTTTGCACTCAAAAGAGCAATCAAAGGCTTCAAGACATCGGCCACGGTTACTTTGATCCGTTTCATAGGTGTGGGATTGTTCAGAATCATGTTGGCGCGCCGCGTTTTTGTAAAGAGGGCACCAAAGAGAAGGGAAAACCCCATGCAGAGCAACCATGGTGTCATGTTGCATGCAACTTGGCAGCCATTCCAGGATGCCCAAGACTCGTCCACCAGGCCTGGGATAATGACAGAGGCAAACACAATGGCACCGGCACAAATCACGAAAAGGAAGAAAGGTTGAGAAGCCAGTACAACCCGACTCTTGCGGTGCCATTGAGTCCAGCCGGCAAATGCAATGGCCAAAATGATGGCGAAAGCGCACATGATAAAGCTCGTAATTTTTGTTGGCCGGCTCAACTGGTTGTTGTCCACATCCAGGGGTGGTAGATCCGGCGGTGAGGTCAAGGAGCCACTTTGAAACGTGAAATCGTGCAACTTGACCCAACCTCCATCTTCGTACCGATGCGTGCGAACGGATTTCAGCTGTACTAAACTTTCTGTGGAGGCCTCCTCATCTTCAAAATAATTGACAAGATCAGAGATTGTATTGGTGCGTGTCCCTGTTTCCTTGTCAAACTGCACCAACCCGGTGGCACCGACAAACTCGTGCTGTACCATAGTTTGGTAGTGATGTGTCCCATTCAGTGTGGGCACGCCATCGCCAGTCGCAGCACTACCAGTACTGTTGAGAGCCCTGCAAGCGGATAATCCCAAAGCGATTGTGGCATCGTAAAAGAAGGGTGCATATGCTGACAAAACCTGTTGCAAGGTGGCCTGGTCTTGATTCATCACGCCAGAGAGACCATATGGAGCTAGCTTTAGAAGGAAATCAAAATCAGCCTGTCCTTGCGATTCGGTCACTGATGCTCCAAAGCCTTCTGCAGCTGGACCAGCAGTAAAGGCGACTACGCCAATCCCTTGATAGACCTTGTGCAAGATGGAGCCACGCTTAAATTTTTGGGTCAAGAGTTGCCATGGTCCCACTGTGTCCGAGAACAACCAAGTGTAGTCCTTGTTTCCCGCAATTCCTTGTTGGTATGCTTCGGTCATGACCTCATCCCATACATCAAAAACGATGACATAGAAATACCGGTACCTGGTAAGCTTTAGGGATCTAACGGCTTCTGCAATGGTTTGTTTGTCGAGTTGTCGATAGGGCATGCTGATAGTGGCAAGCGAGAAATCTGAAAATTCCTCTGCTACAGCCTGCTTGAGTGCCTCCACATAGGAAGTGCCATAAGGCTCATTGAGATGCAGGACCGCCAAATTTTTGACATTGAGATCATCCCTCAAGAATTTGAGTAGAGGAGCCGCATTAAGATCATCGCTTCCCAAGGTCCGAGCAAAGAGAGGATGAGCCGAGGGGTCATCGAGTGCTTTACTGGTGGTGCTACCACTGAGTTGTGGGTATCCTCTTAATCCCGTGATCATGCTGGTTGGCAAAGCAAGCGCCGATCTAATGGGTCCAATAAACGCACATGGTCGTTTCTCATTCACGGTTCGGTCTGTCTGTTGAATGGCCGTGTTGAGTGCCACATCTGTGAGGGTCTGAATGTTGGCAAATTCGACGGTGAACTTGAGATTGGGGCAATCTCGGGTCATAATAGCTTCCAGCTCTGGAGACCAAATGCCATTGGCTGTGTTCAAGTGATGAATTCCAAATGCCACAGACAAGGCATGCAGATATGCTTCTATATCCGGTTTCCCATCGATTGTAAACTCCATAATGTTGCTGATATGGCATATGGCCAGCGGATCTCCGTCCTCGAAATGCAGCACATCCACATTGCTACCCTCAGGCCGCTCAATTCTCGTAGCATTCGACCTCAACTCATTGTAATACCCCAGGGAGGAAGACAGCCCAGTTGAAAACTCCATTGTCCTCACACCTCTCTGCATGAACAGTTGCCCAGTTCGAAGCTGTTAGAGGGAAATTTGAGGTACGGTAGCTGGTACAGCTTTTTTTTAGGCAAGACAGAAAAAATAGTTATCCTGCAACTCAAGTAGACTACTGAGTACAGTGTACTAGCTTGTACAGTACCGATACTAGCCAGCTAATAGTACTGGCAAGAGCACAGTTTTCATTTTTTTCTTGGAGAAGGGCAGAAGCGGTTCTGGACCATCCGACCGTTTTCGCTCAGGCTTCAAAACCTGGCAAGACTGACTCGTTCTCGTTAAGAGGAGGTGGAGGTAAGAGGATGTGAAGATTTAGGAGGATGTATAAGAGGATGTTGTCTTTTAAAAAGGGATGTTGTCGAGAGGATGTTTATTTTAAAAGGGATGTTCATTCGTGATAAGAGGAAGTCCTGTGGTGTTTCAATGAAGGCTTAAGCGGATGTTTCGAAGCTTTAAGAGGATGTTGTTACGAGGATGTTTATTTACGAGGATGTTGAAGGGGATGATGAAGGTCTAAGAGGATGTTAATTAAGAGGATGTTTAAGAGGATGTTGTCAGTCGTGGAAGTTTAGCCAAAACAGTCGGACGGTCCTGGGGTGGGGGGTGGGTTCCTGGGGCCCAAGGCCTTTTAATTAATTTAAGCTTTTTTATTAAAAAGCCACCCACATTTTTAGACGGGCGAGCTACAGAAGCTAGGGTTGGAGTTAACGTATCTTCGGGGTGTGTGTGACGTCGACCACCCTCCTTCAAATTTGAGTTTTCACAGCGACGGCTGGCTTATTGGTTGTGGATCTTTATCTTTTTGTCAACATTTCGACCATGACGTCCAAGTCGCCTGCTACTCGTACCGGTACTATTACTCCTCCTTTCAACAGCGACGGCAGTTCATCGTCGTCTTGTTCTTGTGATTATGAAGTGATCATTGTAGGTGCTGGAGTGGCAGGCTGTTCGGCAGCGTACCATTTGCAGCAGTATGTAGGAGGGAATGATCGTTTGTTGGTGTTGGATGCGGGTCCAGCCGCCGGAGAAGGCGTTCGACCCCGTCAAAGTGGCAGTGCCACCATGTCGTCCGTGGCGCCGTGTGTGAAAATGATGGTCCAGATCTTTGCCGGTTCCTGTCAAGACATGATGCGAAATCACGGTAAGGAAGGAGCGACGCGGTACCTCACTGCCACACGAGAGGGACTCGTCTTGCAAAAGACCTTGGCCAAGGAAATTTGGAAGGACACGCATTCATTGCACATGAAGGAACTGGGATCTTACTATCTGGGATACGAACAGGATACAGAAGAATTGAGACGAGAATTCAAGACACTGCTAGAGTTGGGTTGTGGTCAAGATGACATGGAATGGTGCGACAAGGAACGACTGCAAACCGTAGAGGGCATTAGTTCCAACTTTCACTGCGGCATCTTTTTCCCCAAGGAAGCTGTCATTGATTCCTCACTCTACGCCAAGACTTTGCTGCAACTCACTATCGAAAAATCCAATGGAAAAGCACAATTCTGGGCAAATTCACCAGTAGCAACCGTACAAGAAGACTCGGACGCAGTCACCGTCACGTTGCAGTCGGGAACACAAATCCGAGCCAAGCAAGTCGTAATGGCCACGGGCGCACTCTACCAAGACGCCAAACTCAACGGTCTCCTCAAACCATGCTATTCGTACCTAGTACATGTCCCCGTCAATACTGTATCAACCACCACCAATAGCAATGATGACTGCTGCGACAATTCCGCCAACTTTTTCACCTGGGGGTTCTCCCATGACTGGTGCTTTACCAATGGAAAAGTACGCATCTCGGGGGAAGATCATTTCAGTGCCTACAAACCACCCCATCTGCAAGAACGATGTGCACGACTCTCCCATTGGACATTGGAACAATATCATCATAATGATCCACAACAAAACGTTCACGACTTTCCACAACAATATGGACTCTACTCGGAAACACCCGACATGGCGCCGCTCGTGGGACGGATCCAACCAAACAGTCGAATCTGCTATCTACTTGGATGCAATGCCTGGGGACAAACCATTCTATCCTATTGCAGTTCACTCATTCCGGGATTGATGCAGTACACGCAGCTCACGGAGCAACAACAGGACTGTCTCAAACTGCTTTCCATTCAACGATTTTCGCAGTTGCCGGCGGCGTTGTCATCATAGACGTGAGTGAGTGATTATTTATATCATTTTAAAGTCAAGCAGTAGATCGCCGTGTTGCCAGTCAGTGTCAACGTTTGCTGGATTTGTCTGACTCTTCTCTACTCAGGCCGTGCAAGTTGCTGAACGTTCATGACTTGGCCATCGCTGCTGGAACGAACGAGCTAGACGCCTGCCATTGCACGACGAACCATGGACAAGGCATTCTGATCTGGATAGTAGACAATGAACTGCATATTCACGTGGCCACGAGATCGATAAATGCAGGCTCCCGATCTTTTTTCAAGATTCCTCACATTCCTGCCTTTCGTACCCATGAACTTTCCAATCACTGAAGGCCTGCATCGAAGGCTCGTATCGACCGACATTCGAGGCAAAAGTCCCGCGAATCGCGCCGACATACTCTTGGCGTTGGCTTCATAGAGCAATCCACGAGCGGTCAAGATGGCAGTTTGCCTCGAGGCAAGCTGAAGCAACTTGTCGACATCGCTAGATGCCCAGGTAATCATCATCGCAGTCATTGGACGCATAGCCCAAAAGTTGGGGTTCCTCTGATACACAGTGGAGTCTCGTGTGGTGTTGCTGCTGACGCCGTTGTAAGCTAGGACCGTATTGAGGCTAGCCGCATCCTCAAGAGTAATCACGGTGTGATAGCAACTAGTATCGTGAACATTTTGCAGGGAGATGCCACAGTGGTGATAAAGGGCGTCGCAGTCCATGCGACAGTCATGAATGATCTTTGTCACCGTTGGGCACTCAAAGAGCTGTTTGAGGGCTGCAACGCGTGCATTGTGTTCTGGAGTTGCTCCATGCTTGGAGACGTTCAAGTCAACCAGAAATGCCGTACCGCTGTCGTCTTCGAAACAGAGCGAGACAACTTCCAAAGATCCAATCCTGGAAAGAGAAACTCCTTCGCAGTCAAAGGCAACACGAGTTGGAACCACGCTTCGACAAGCTCGTTCAACCGCTGCAAAGAACGCCGATGCAGCATTTGAGTTCAAGCGCTGGGCTTCATTGTCCACTATCAACGTCCTCGTCATGCTTCCACACTTGTTTTTGGATGCATTAGATTGTTGTGATCTCCGCACTTTTGGTTGGGTCGAATCATCCTGAGCCCAGCACTGCCGGCACCGGTACTACTACATGGGCACTGCAATGAAATTTTCGTTGTGCCCACCGTATCTTTGGCTCGTGTGTTTCTTGTCCCCAATTTGTGGCCCCTGATTTCCCTACTAGCAGTCCTTGCTGAATGCGCCAGTAGCAAAATACCGGACCATACTTCTAAAGCCCCCCCAGGAGCGAGAGCGCTACGGCACATGCCAACGATCATCGAATCACATTTGTAGAATTTATCTTGACCTTTTTAGCATCTGATAGTGCTGGGAAACTCTTTTTGTGGTTGTGTTGATACCTTGTCTTGAGAAATATGGCTGAACAAATCACATCAACAATCTCAAAAAGAGGATTGATGTTGATTGCAGCAGACAAAGGAACCTTTGTGGTCGTTGATGTTGCCAGTTTGGTATAGGAGTGGACACAGGTTGAGGTCATTCCTCTCTTTTGGCTTCAACCAAGCCCTGGCTTGACAGTGATATTTCTCCAAAATGGCTCGGTAAAAGTGGCTGCAACTCACGAGGAGCCCAAAGGTTGTGTTATTATAAAAGCGTACTCAATGAAAAGGCTTCTTGGGCTCAAGTTCAAGGAAAGTCACTTGCGCCAGAGGACATGATGGTTGGCCTCTTTGTTGTTGTTTGTCTTTTTTCCGGCACCTGTGGTTGACCGGGTGCACGGAGTCTAGTCGAGCCCTCATTTCAGCGGATCCATCTATTCCCGAATTTCGCTTTTCTTTTCCTAAGCCTGCCCCCCTGTCGGCTTCCTTAGACAAGTTCCCTACAGTATGATACTCTAGCCAGCTAGATCCCCTTGATCATCTTTCCAGTCTTGTAAGTCCCTACAGTACCGGTATGATACTCTGGCCGGCTAGACTCCCTTGATCATCTTTCCAGTCTTCTAAGTCTCGACCGGCGACCGGCATGCCCATCAACCTTCAAGGCCGCGATCATTTTGAGGTCGTCTCCACGATCGGGAATTCGATTACCGTGGAAACTCAACTCCTCCACGCTCAATCTTGTCAATCATCGATTGAATTTCGGTTTTATCATTCCGCAGGCGCCACAACTCTGGGCTGGAACCTCATTCAATCTCTGAATACTACAGTACAGGGCCATTTACTATCGCCTTACCTTGCTTTGCTATTTTCTTTCGAATAGTCGATCTCCGAGACCATGGCAGCTAATGATCCCGCCACCTCCACCGCCTCAGGCGGAGAAATCTCGTTTGAAGAGACCCTCTCTACCTTTTGGAGAGATGAAGCTTTTCATGATGTTACCCTAAGATCTACGGATGGTATTCTGATTTCAGCTAATCGCTGTGCTTTGGCGGCACGGAATGGTTTCTTTCGGAAGATGTTTCTTACCCAATTCAAAGAGGCCAAGGCTCCAACGGTGGAAGTTGGCTTTCCTGGAGTAATTATGAACGCAGTGTTGGAATATCTTTACACGAACAAAGCAGGCATTCTGCTTGACTGTGCAGCTGACGAGACAAGTGAGCCCTCGGAAACTCCAAGTGGTGTACTATCAGATGACACTTTGCGCAACTTTCAGCTTCTGCTAACTGCGACGGAAGCCGCTGCGTACTACGATTTGCCAGGTCTCTGTGGGCAGATCTCGGAATGCCTTTCTATCCACCTCCGAGTATGCCCTGCTCTTTCCATCGTGACTCTGGTAGCTACCAGCGCTCCTGAAAAGATCAAACAAATTGCGTTCACCAACATTCAAGACTATCCTGAAAAGTGCTTGGTGGGAAGCGTCATCAGCGGTTTACGTCAATCTGATATGAAGATCCTCTTGGAAGACAGCAAAGAAGACCTTGGACTTCACGATTTCCATGTTTTCCAGCTCATCCAACTCTGGGATTCCACCACGGGAGAAAAGGATGGTCATGCTCGAGCAAAAGAACTCGTTGCAAAACACGTTGATCTTAAGAAGGTCAGCCCGAACAGATTGTCCTCGTCAGTTGCCGCATCCGGACTTGTGAACAAGGAACAACTTTTTGATGCCTTCAAACACCAAGCGTTGTTGGCAGAGAAAGAACATGGTGTAAGGTTTGAGCCCGAGCCTGAGCCCAATCTGCGTTGCATCTGGATCTCCAGTCAGTCAAAAGAATTTATTTCGAAACAGGCTGGTTGGAACACTGGTCACTTAGACTGCAAGCCAATGGTTTCGGGGAAACATCAGTGGAAGTTGAAGGTAAACAAGAGTACCAGCCAGGACCATTTAGCGCTGGGTGTGGTCTATACGGCACAATCAATTGAGACCTTGAACAGCGGAAACATGTATGTTGGTTATAAGAGTGGAGGAGGATGGAGTTACGCAGGGAACGGTTATTCCCTGAATGAAGGAATTGTGCATAGATGCTGCCAGGATCTCTTCCGACAAGACTCGGTCGTTACGTTGACCCTGGATCTCACCCCAGGCAACCCGAAGAATGGGAGTTTGTCCATTTCAGTGGACCACGGACCAACTTACGAAGATGTATCCAACTTGCGTGCTCGCCTAGTAAGTGGTGGCGGCTTCATTCCCGCAGCATCAATTGGCCAACATGGAGACTCCGTAGAGATTTTGAGCATGAAAAAGTTGTGAGCGAGAGTTTGTCGGGCCGATCAGAACCTATAAATCAATCAAGTGCTGCTGCTAGCAACTTCTTGCAGTCATTCATATTGATGGAACCCAACTTGCTATAACTTTCTAAACAGTCCGTTTGAGACCTTTGTGTAGTAGCAACGTGCCTGGTTAAATTTTATAGAAGCTTGTTCTTCTATGGGGCATTCATAGCCCGATCAGAGTCACCTTCACGTTGTTGAATCTGTGCCCCCCCCCCCTACCCTACATCAGTTTTCACTGGCACATCTCTGTGTTGCTTTCGTCTATGGTAGCCTTTGGACCCATGGTGCTCTATGCTCCCACCACTACCTGCTATGCAGTATCCATTGAGTGAGCCCCAAGGTTTGCACATCCCCCACAAGCAAGCAACTCAACCGGCCCTTGCCATTTCGATCGAGTTTTGCTTGGTGGGCAACTTGGGAGGGCCTCCCTTGCGCGACACTTTGCGAGGAACTCTGTTCTTCAAGGTGGGACTGCTGCTATTGGTACGCCGCAGTGTGACACCCGATCCCACCGGTTGGTCCTTGGCAATGCTGTCCCAACGAGATACTGTGGGTTTTCTGGACGGACAGCTCTCCTCGGTTGAATCGTGGTCGTCTCGACGGAGGCAAGCACACCGAGGCGCCTTGTCTTCCTTCTTCTTGTTTGTGCTGGAGGTAGATTCCCATCGCAAGTTCTTGCCAGGAAGGTTGCGGTCGAGGCTCTGACTTTGGGGGCGGTCAAAGGCCGCGCATGTCCTGGCGCGACGAGCAATGGCTCTTTTGCGTTGCTTCAATCGATCCAGTTTCTCGGGGACCACAAAACAATCATGAGATTGGGCTCGTCGAAACATGGTGCTGATGACTGATGATCGTTGTAAATAGGCAGATTTTGCAAAATTTGTGAGCAAAGCAAAGAAGGAAAACAAGAAGAGTGGAGGTGCGAAGCAATAGCTGGAGCAATCGTGGTGGCGGCGAAGCAACAAAGCAACGAAGCTCAAAGTGTGAGGAATGTGTTAAGAATGGCCTCATGTGAGTGCTATTCTCCTTTGAACAAATAAGGAGCACAAACAATAATTACAGGATCCGACTGGGTTTCATAGGGGGTTTTCCTTTAACTCCTGAAAGGTTGTAGTATTAATAGTATCTGAGTCAGGTCAATTTAGGCCATTGATTGAAAATCTACGATGGCTAATGTGTGCGAATGACATTTTGATCAATGGGACTGAACATGGAGAATCAGATAGAATCAGTGAGTCCAAGCATGTTGGTACTGATTATCCACCAAAGCTCCACCAATGACTGTACCGGTACTATTAATAGTACCGTACGGCTGTACTATTAGTACCAGTACTTACGCTTGCTACTGTAAGTATTATTTTTACTACTCACTCGTCACATTAAATTTCACTACCACTAGTTAACTCGTTAACTCCTCAAGAGTTTAAATCCCATACTTCTTTTCCTCGATTTGTATTTAACGCCCTAGAAATAGAAATGGGGTTCTGTGTTTGAGATGCACTCTTACCTCATTAATAAGATAATTCTATTCTTATTCCAATACTGGAGGTATCTTAACGGATCCAGCCACAGGAACGCTGAGTTATTATCTTACAAGCAGCCCAATCTCAGTGTCTTTCATATCTTATAGCCACTAGAAGCTTTTGTTTCATACCCTACAACTAACCATGCCCTCAGACAGTGAGGAGCCACCACCAAAGCTCAAGAAGGCAAAGGTGCAAAGCTAAAATTGAAGAAACCAAAGATGTTGTGGTAGGGAGGCACCCTAAGATGTGGATATGGAGTACTTGGATGTAGATGGTGATGTGGAAGATAGTGGGTGCTGGCTGCATTCAATCCCCACAGAGTATTAGTATTGGCTTAGGATTTGAGACCTCAGTACTCGTAGCTTATCTTACTGGTTTGGGAAATCTGAGTGTCCAGGTTATCCAAACATTTCTAAAAAGTTGAGTACTCGGTATCTTAAACCCACTTATCTTAAAAGTGTGAGTGAGGAGTGTGATTTCCCCAAGAAGAATTAGAGTCAGAAGATCATGAATTGATTGGTTCTTCAAACTTGCATTCGTTATATCTCCACTTCTTTCCAATGGTTCATACAAGAGAGCAGAGTTTCGAGTTTTATTAAAATAGGCCAATACCGGTACAGTGTACCGGTACCGGTACCGCTGAGTCGAGTGACGAGTCACTCAGTCAATACGACTGTACACTGTAGGCCAAAGTAGTGTGCGCTTTTCTGTTTTGGCTGGGTGGCTGCTCACTTTTTCGGTTCTCACGTTGTCCGACGAGAAACTCGAGTCTCAGTCTTTCGACGCATGGGGAGGTGTTGTGCTTTCGTGCTTTCTCACTCTAGCTAGAGAGCAAAACCGTCCCACGAAACACCCAGAAAGCAGCGATTTCCATTCTGAAATTTGATCCTTGGGAAGGCGCAAGCAAGCGGTACTGTAGCAAGCACAAGAGAGCTGCAAAAATGCAAGGCCTTCAAAGACTCAGTCCCCTTTGTTCCTTTCGGTTTTCTCACTTTTGAGGTGGAAGGCTCTGTGCGCTTCCACGGTGTCGGTGCAGCAATCCCATGCCGCGTAGCTAGTCACCTTCAACTAACTATCAAGCTAGAGAATGGCAGTCGCTTCAAGAGGAACGAGGAACAGCCATACGGCAAGTGGCGTGTGCGCATGTGCGCCACCCCCTCCGGAAGTCTACTTCGCTGATCAGATTCGCAATTTATCTAAATTATGTTTGTCATTACTGTAACTGAGTTATCTTTAGTGTTGGGGAAGAGGAGATGATTCCATAGGGTACTGCGTGGCTACGACTGCACCTCATTCGCGGCATTTCTCCTTCCTCTCTTTTGGAAGTTTTGAAGCGGCGTTCTTCATACTTTTTGTTGTTGAAATGTTGCTTTCGTGTTCCACCGTTGAATGGATGAGCGGATGAGCCAGTTCTTCTACCTGATAGTGAACATCTTCTGTATGATCCCAGAGTGCTACTAGTAGTACATGTGTTTCTTCTTCAGTCCTCTGTGTCCGTTGCTCCAAGGCTTGCTTGCTTGCTTGCTTGCTTGGAGCCACTGTGGAATCTCGGGGTATGAATTCCATTTGTTGTCGCGTGGCCATGGATTTCTCTTGGGGAAAGGTGCTAAAACCATCACTCTAGCTAGGCATTCAATCTGAACTGTAGAGTCTGGTAGAGGAGTGGGTCGGTCTTCATGCGAGCATGAAGACCGATGCGCCAACCAATAGCTTCAAACGGAAGTGTTGGCTTGATGCAAACAAATTGAGCAGGCTGCACTTTTTAGCCCCAACCCTATAAAGGTAGCCTGTCCAAAATAAATGAGGAACAGATGGCTGGCTAGCTAGCCAGAGCTATCACATGTATTAGCATGTATTATAGTTACGATAGCACCCCAGCAGCCGACTGTTCACCTGGCTAGCTAGCTACGGTTGTACATGTAGAGCCTAATATCTTAGCTAGCTAGATAGCTACACAAGCAGCCAACTGTTTATTTACTAGCTAGGTAGCTAGCTAGCTAAAATGTGCTTTACCTATTACTAGCTAGCTGGCAGCATTAGCAGTACTAGCTAGCTAGCAGGTTGTAGCCCGTTCCAAACTCGTTGAGGGCTCATGCCTTCGGCAGCCTCAATTTAGAGGGGAAATCAACCGGGAGGGAGTAAATGGGGGCAAGATCAACGTTCTAGCTACTAGCAGCTAGTAGCTAAAGTAGATATGTTAAGGAGAGAGGGGGGCTAATCTAGGCAGAGCGGTGGTATGGGTAGTGGGTACCCTACTACCTGGTACTGGGAGAGTGGGGAGGATGGGAGCAGGGTAAAAGGGGGCTAGGGGGAGGGGAAAGGGGAAAGCATTGAGCAAAAGGAGGAAGTAGACTACAATAGATCTAAGTCGAGGGGAAGTCCAGACAGATTACCCATTGCTCCGCGCATTCCGTCATCCGTCAACTTCAGGAGTTCAAGAGAGTTGGAAAACTTCCTCGACACGCAGGCAAGTTGATAACCATGAGATCTCTCGCCCTCATCAAAAGCCATCACCTCTTGGTCCATTGTTATCGTCTATGGCTGCTACCGGTATTATTACTGCTTTGCTTTCATCTGCCGAGACATGCCCACGCGTTTACACTGATAACCTTTGATGTGGACGGGACACTGGTCAGGGGATCGGGACAAGAAGCCGATACATCTGCACACACCAAGGCGTTTGCTCATGCCTGCGGCAAAATTCTAGGGGATGGAATCACGCCGACAAAACCAGTGGCTCAAGCGTTGCCACAGCACTTGTTTCATGGATCCACCGATGGATTGATCCTCTGTCGACTCGCCAAGGCAGAGCTGGACGTGAATCAAGTCAGTGAAAGTCAATTGGAGGCCCTCTTTGAGGCCATGTACGCGTATATTGCAGCACTGGAAGACGACCAAGTTGCCAAAGGCATTGAGCCATTACCAGGTGTCTTGGAACAGCTTGCCACTCTGGCACAAATGCAACAGCAGCCGAACAGCAAGGTGGCGTGTGGACTTGTGACGGGAAACGTCGAAGGCATTGCCCGACGAAAAATGAGAGCTGTGGGAGTGCTCGAAACACGGGCATTGGCGCCACCCTCCCCCGAACAAATGGAGCGCAATTACAAATGGCCGGGGGCGCAAGATATTGGATTCTTGGGAGGATTTGGATCCGACTATTGCAGTCGAGACATTCAAGACATTTCGAGGAATTATCTAGATCGAGGAACGCAAATTGCCATTGCAGCAAGACGATGCCAATCCACTCTGCCACCCAGTGGCCAACTCGAACGGGTGGTGCACGTGGGAGATGCTCCCGCCGATGTCTTGGCGGCCAAATCCTATTCCGAACAATTATTGGTGACAGCCAATGACAACGACAGCAATAAAAATGTCATGTGTGTTGGAATGGTCGCAGTGGCCACGGGGAGCTACAGTGCCGAACAACTGCGAGAGGCAGCTGGAGAGCCTATCCCGGGGAGATGGGAACCTGTCGTTTTGGAACAAGGAATGGCAGATCCAAGATTTCTGGAGGCATGTGGAATTCAGCAGTAGGCGATGGAGGAAGCTAACTATCGATACGTGTACGGTACCAGTACTAGTACCGGTACCAGTAATAGAAATCTAGAAATCTTCCTGCACGACGCATAAATCATAAATACCGTAATGGTGGGAGGGAGGACGATCATTTTCATCAGAAACAAATGAAGCAACCCTTGCCACACAGTTGAAACATAACTCCCACAACGCAGAGCAAGAGCCAAAAGCAATTGTATGCGACGCGCCCTCACAAAGCTCGTCACGGCCCTCAAAAGAGCGAAAGCGGCCGCATTTCAAAAGGGTTCCTGCCTGGGCAGAATGATGCCAACATCAACAAAAGATAAGAACATGACCAGGGGTTCCAACGTGGTCCTCCACCGTAGAATAACTTTGCTGGGCGGGAAACGGTGCTGGCTGTCATCGTGGTATGGTCAGTCGTTCCAAATATCATTTCTGAATCACTGGGGAAACACAAAGAGTGTGTAAAAGCGGTGTGTTTAGACTAGTTTAGAGTTTCCTGTTATGCTTTCTTTTGAAGCTCAACCAGGAACAAAGCTAGCTCATTGCTTGTCAGTGCTTACTCCGCAGCTTCCCTTTTGCGGCGACGCTACACCATCGATACCGCGGCAGAAATCAGTCCGTCGGCAATGTTTTTTTCCAATACAAGAGGTTCTAATGCACGTTATATCGAATCGAATCCTCTGAAAGTACAAGTATGCAACTTGTTGTGTCTCGTTACATGTACTAGCTAGGTCATCACCATTGCCACATCTGGCTCCGAGCCGTCGTCGTCGTCGTCTACGCTAGATTCCGTCGCGTTGATCAAGTCCTCGCCGATTGACATCCCGGGCTTTTTCTCGGTTATCCTGACAGAAGGTTGAAGGATCTCTCTGGCTGTTGCTGTTCTCGTCATGGCCGATCCACGCATATATGTCCTCAAAAAGATACAGATTCCCGCCATTATGAGAACAAAGGGATACAGGTATCCAGGTGTGGCGGCCTTGCAGAGAGAACCGCAAGATTCTGGACAAGGAAACCTTAGAAAGGTCGCCAAGGAAACACCTGCCGAGAAAATGACGATGGAGGCTGCGAATTTGCTGTACACGTATGCTTTCTTGAGGCGCTCGCTCAGCGTTGGTAGCTGGCCCATCAGTAGCATGGAGACGCACACCTCAGTTATCCAAATGAGGTAAGCCGAATGTTGAACACCATAGTAGATCCGCGAGTCTTCCAGTACGGTGTCCAAGCAATCAAAGAGGTAGCCACAATCATCTCCTCCCATGGTGTTGCTTTGTTTTGCGTCTCAACTTGGTCCTTTTCGCGACAGCAGAAGTTCTGTAACAAAAGTGGTGGCGGGGCAATCCAATTCCACGAGCTATTCCACGTCTGAAGCTCCGATCCCCTGAAGGCTGGGGGAATCCTTTCTTGATTTGTGCAAAACAATACAGAGCAGCAACAAGTACGTTGAGTACCGATAGGCGGAACAAAGCTATTATATTTTCCTTACCCCCCTGCAAATGTCAGCCACGATTCAAAGAAAAATAAAATCGTGATGATGGTTTTATTAATTAAGTATAAGGGGGGTCAACTTGGAACAGGGGCTGAATCCCCTTCCGCGCTGGAATGTTCGCTTGTGTCTTATGGTGGGCCAAGCTTGGGGAAAAAGAGACCAGGGCAAGGCTTTGCTTGGATCGGGCGGTACAAGGGTGAAGCAGTCTTGAGGTTGTGATGGCTTAAAAGTTGTTGGAAGCCTCATGCATCATAAGCACAGAGGGCTGGTTGAGCCATGCCACCAGGACAAGGGACATCATGACCTTGACATACTGTACCAACAAATGTGTATCATAACGTTTGTCGATGCTTTCTTTTTGTTGTCATGGTTACTGCTTCAGCAGAATTTTCACGTTTACATTTTACAGACCCTTTGCCTTTGGATCCCTTTTGCATGAAACTCCCTCTTTATGTAAAAATGACCCAAATCCCCATTGCATTCAACACCCCCGTCCCCCGTCTGAAGGGGTTCTAGTAGAGTAAAGAAGTCGTCTATGGAAGCCAACCGGAGACTCTAGCGGTACCTACCGGTGAGCAAAGATGGGGTGGTTTTCGGGACTAGCTGCAGTAGATTCCTTGGGTCAGGGGCCACAATTGAGGAACAGCAGGGGGGGCATTTCATAAGGGGGGCTTAGACTTCCTTCTCTTATCTCTAATCCTTGGGGGTTCGCACCCCTTGGACGGTCGCCTCATCCCTCATCATTCCTTCTTTAGCTCTGGCCCGACCAGTAGATACTGCACCCTTTTGACCATGGCAATGGAGGCAGAATCGGGTACGGCAGACGGCAGCCTCGAAAGCGATGCCAAATATCGTGGTGTGAGCGTGTATCATTTGAAAGAGGTCTTCCTTCCATCCTTAGAGGCAACCGAAGGATTGTCGACGGACTCAAGATTCTACGAAATCGAGGACTCGAGAAAGGAGACAGGGTTTGTTCGTGAGAAGGGGCGCCGTGTCACTTGTCCTCGTGATGGGATGCTGGGGGCGTCTTATGTTGACTCTCTGCAGGGGAGGGATCATGTAGGAAAGTCAACACACATGGTAAGAATATCCTCTCAAATTTTGTTTTATCAGGACTTGGGCTGGCTAGCACCGCTGACTTCTTGTCATTTGTCAGCTCTCGTGGACTTGGTGGTACAAGGTTGGAGATGTGGTAGAGACGTTGATCAACTTTTGCGAGCAAAGGGAGCTGAACATGAAGCGTACCTACATTTGGATCTGCGCTCTTTGTTTGAATCAACATCGGATCATGGGCACAGCCTGCGCTGATGCCTTCAATTTCGAAGAAAACTTTCGCTCTCACGTCCTACACATTGGGCATGTAATTGTCATGATGACTCCCTGGGATGAACCCCAATATCTAAAGCGTATTTGGTGTATATTCGAACTATATACGGCAATGAAAAATGATGTTCAAATCTCTATAGTCATGCCCAAGCAGGAAGAAGACAGGATGACCCATGAACTTGTCGGAGTGCAAGGGAAAGGAATCAACGAGCTTTATGCTGTGTTGCAAAAGACAATGATCCAAAATGCCAAGGCTACGGTAGAGCAGGACAGGCTCAAAATATTGCAAATGGTCGAATGCAATGATGGATTTCATTTTGTCAACAAACAAGTCACCCAGCATATTCGCTTCTGGATACGGGGAATTTTGTCCAGTCTGGCTTCCGCCGTTGTCGCTACCCACCATACAGAGACAGCAAGCTCGCAGCAGTTTGTTGGTCTTTGCTCTCGATATGGTCAACTATTCGCGAGCATTGGGGAGTATGATCTGGCTTTGACCGCATTGGAAAAGGCGCACAGGGTTGCAGGAGATGCCTTTGGCGAGAAACATTGGCAAACAATCGACATACATGATAGCATTGGGTCGATTTACCTAAACAAAGGGCAATACAAGAAAGCACGAACGATCTTTCAAAAGTGCTTACTGAGCAGAGAGTGTCAGTCGTCGAACCGAAACAGTCGAGAGCATCGTCTGAAGATTGCCAATGCCCACAACTCGATGGGCTGGGCTGAACTATGTCTGGGCGATTATGTGGAGGCCACAAAGCTCTATCGAAAATCCCTTTCTATTCAAGAGGAAGCTCTAGGTAGCCGACACGCTGAAGTTGCCGAAACATACAGCAACCTGGGCATGGCGCTTCACCGTCATGGTGACTACCGGGGGGCCTCGCTGGCCCACGACAAGGCAATCGACATACTCGAAAGCTGCTACGGAAGAGATCACCCTCGCACGGCAAAGGCATATCATTCACTGGGAAGTGTGTTTCTGTGCACAGAACAGTTTGAGGATGCACTTGCAGTGTTTCAGAAGTGTCTTTCGATTCGTGAGATTGCTCTCGGCGAGCACCCTGAGACGGCGGCGACTCTCGCGTCGATGGGTTGGGTTCGGGCTTGTCAAGGAAAGCATAATCGAGCCATTGGGATGTACAAACAGTGTTTGGGTATCCAGAAGACTACGCTGGGCGCAGACCACCCGGACACGGCTGGTACCTGTGTATCGATTGCCAACTCTTTGCTAGAAAAGAAAAGGTACGATGAAGCCATACGAATCTACCACAAAGCCTGCACTATCTTCGCCAAGGCCCTTGGTGCAGAGCATCCCAAGACGACAAGTGCGAAACGGCTGCGCTTTGTTTCGATCTATCGACAACAGCGAACGAAGTTCATTACCAAAACTCTCCACACTGTTGCCTATCTTGCAATGACGGTGATGTTTTCTTTGGTGATTCTTGGTAACAATGCGATTCCACTGCCACTCAAGATTTTCGCAACAGTTGCCTATGCAACATTCGTCGGTTCCCTCGTGAAAGAACTCTACGTGATATGTCGCATCCACTACGAATTGAACTTGGAGTGCCCCGGCGTTGCTTCTTTGAGCGCCGAAATGACTAGCCTTACAAGGCCCACTGCTTCCTCTCCTGCATACTCTCCCGTGGAAACCATCGAGCTGGTGTAGACCAATGATGCCGGAGTCGCAGCAGCACTCGGGCAGCACTCATCTGGCCTTTTACGGCTTGTGCTTGTGCACGTGGCCTTTGGGGCGACCTGTTCTTCACTGCTAGCTACAGTTGCATTGGGTATATGCATACGAGAATCTTGCATTGATAATCGTCAACCATAGTAACAATTGATCTTTGGAAGCAAGATAGTGCCAATTTTACGTCTCCTGGCCACCCATGACGCAGGGGACAGGCCGCCAAAAGAGACCGATGAGCTGGAGAATAGAGAGCAATGTTACCCTTAGCATATTACCGTGGTTCCATTACCACGGTCCAGTCCATGACCATGATCCTGTCAAGAGCCATTTCGAGAACCAGCACCAAGTTCAACTCGAATACGCTACACGACAGGGTGGAATGAGGCCAAGCATGGTACCGTTACCCCGGGGTCGCGCTCTTCGAGATTGTTGAGAGTCTCCTGTGTGACCTGCGGTACCTGGTACAAGGTGCGGTGTATCGTGATGGTATCATGCTGACGGATATTCTACAAATAAGGCAGGCCACACTATAATCCGCGCATGTCCGTCGGTCATCGGTCAAAATGTGAGGTGGTGGAAAAATCTTTTTATTCGCGCAAACGCTTCTTAACATATAGACCTATCCAGCGATGTATTACATATACCCGACCGACGTCTAGTTACTGAGTAATGGCTAACCGACAGATCTAATCAGGTTGGTGCGATACAGTTAATCGTGCAGCATTGGCTGACTCCCACACCCATCCGACCACTCTTACACGACTTTTCGCACTATCGGCCGAAACTATCGAAACTGCTTCCAAGCAAGCCAAAGATGGTGATGAAATAGCCAAATTCGACCATGACGGAGCCTCCAGACACCCCCATCGTCCCTAGGAATGCCTTTGCTATCAGCCCTGTGAGGAAGATCCACTCTCCTGCCATCAGAGACAAGCTTATGAGAGGAAAAAGATGCAAGAATCCTCCCAACGTGGGAGCACTCAAGCAAGAGATCAACGACTGGTTGGCGGCATACAAGGCATTGGATAACTGCGTATCCATCAAGAACCAAGGAAGGGACAAAGCATGCACCTGTTGCACGGATATCCCAGAGCCTGGTACCTATTACTTTTTTGTCATGGTCAACAGCCTTTTCGATTTCGCTTTGCGCGACAGAAAAGGCCAGATGACGTTCGTCGTGGAATGGATCAAGTACAGCAGACGCAAACAGAAGCATCAGTTCAGTCAGCAGGAACAGCGAAGATGCTTTGTAATGCCCGGCATGTGTAATGGAATTACCTGCTGTCGGGATACCCTTTCCAGAATGGTCGGTTTTGGCTGGGACAAGTGGAACAGTTGTGAGAAGATCTTCGATTCCAAGAAAAGCATTCTGCATGGCAACCACGGCATTGCACGCAGATGCAACGAAGCTGTGGACAATTCACTGACCGAATTCTTTGAGAATATGAAACAGCTTGCGTGTCCAAGAGCAACTCTATTTATCAGGGAGTTGGTTGGGAACATGGTACAGCAGTCACTTCGAGACGATGACGATGAACTCCTCGAGCTTCCTTCCTGTGAAAGCAAGCGGCAACTGTATGGAAGGTACCTTAGAGAACGGGGCTACCAGTATTCCGTGGACCAGAAGGGAGCAGTGACCTACAATATTCCATTAGCTGGCGTGGAACAGAAACCTGTCTGCAGCTGGGCCAAGTTCCACGCCTTCTGGGCCAAGAAGTATGCAAATATAGTAGTCTGTTGACCAAGGGAAGACATCTGCAACGAATGCTTCAAGCACGCAAACCGACACAAGTATCTGGTCAACCGGCTGCAGGCAAGGGAAGATCGCCAAGCGAATATTGATCAGATGCAGTGTGATGGCGACAACAATGAGGAGGAAGATGCAACACAAGACATCAACAATGATGATCCTCCACCACCACCACCACCGGAGCCATCAAAACAGGAAAGGGCAAAGCTGCTCTTGGAGCAGACAGCACTCCTCGACAAGAGTGCACACCATGTCAGGATGTATCATGACCAGCGCGCACTCTTCCAACAATACAAGGAGCTTGCGAGGAATACGAAGGAGAAGCCTCCAAGCGAAAGGATCCTCTGCTACGTGGCTAACTATGTGCAGAATATGGGGATTCCATGCTTCGGCTTCGAGCAACCCGGTGAAACCTACTACTATAGCCCACTGAATACATTCTGCTTTGTTGTTGTCGATACCGCTGTGGATGAGCTTGGTGCCTACGTCTACACAGAAGAAGCGGCAAAGAAAGGTGGAAACAATGTCGCCTCCCTTTTCTGGTTGCATCTACAGAGGTCTGGTGTTCTCTACACTCCAGAGCCATTCAAGGAGCTAACGTTTTTCTTTGACAACTGTCCAGGTCAGAACAAGAACAACATGGTGATACGTCTTATCTACCTGCTTGTCAAGCTGCGAGTGGCTACTACTGTGAAGTGTTGCTTCCTGATTAGAGGCCACACAAAGAATGACTGCGACAGACTCTTCAACATAATGAAAAAGGATTATCGAAAGGTACGTAACACCATGGCATCGTTGTTGTTCTTCACATAAAAACCTGAAATGAAGAAGAAGCGAACGTCTCACCTACATGATTCGCTACTGCTGTTGCCGTATAGTCAAACATCTATCTGCCGGAAGACATGGTGGAAGCTCTTAGCCATGAATAAGTCCATCCAGTGTGGGTGACCAACCAAGATATGTTTGATTTCGACAAGTTCGAGAACCAGTACTTATACAGGATCAAGAGCGGTGTTGATGACAACCACATGTTTGTGGCAACTGCAACCAAGGATAATGGGGCCACCATTGCCATTCAGGAATGGTGTAATGGGCCTACTGTCGAGGAGACAATACAGAAGAAGTCCATCACCAAGAAGATCACCAAAGAACCACAATGGGATTCCAAGGCGACTTGGCTACTGCGCATGCAGGAGTTAGAAGGCATTCCTGCCATCGGTGTGCAGGATATCAAATGGATCGAACTGTACGACAAATGGGGTCCTCTCATTCCTGAAGACAAGCGAAAGCAGATGAAATGGTACCACGAGAATCCAGGAGATGCTAGACGCGAGAAGGTCAAGAACAACCGGAATGCTTCCAAGGCCGCCAAAGCAGCCAGGACCATCACTGCTAATGGTGCTGGTGCCACCTAATCTAATAGAGATGTTGTCTATATTTAAAATGAGTTTGTCATATGGTAAGAGCTTGATTTTGGTGCTGGAACGCTTGTGAGCTTCATTGTGGTTGCTCACTTTTTGTTTTTCGCGATTTTCTCAGCTTCGCGATTCTAAGATCTCCGGACGATGCAAGACGGCACGGGGCGGATAATAGTGTGATCAGCCTTAAATAGAGACTAAACAGAGCCTGTTTCGTAACCCAAACGTGACTGAAAATTCGGTTTCACCCGACTCGACTCGGATAGCTGCATCTCGTACCTCGTACGTCTCGTACTGTACGTAAACGAAAAAGGCTGATGATGGTTGATAAAGAGGTTGCTATAGTTGTGTGTTACTACTTGGTTGTTGTGGTTGATTTCTAGTAAGCTGGTAACTGGATAGTCATAAATCGCTACCACAGGTCATTTTCGGTCCCCTCCAGCTAGAGGGGGATCTATCTCACTCTAGATTGCACTTGGAAACAGACTTCATGAGTCTGAAACAGGATGTACCCTTGGGGCAAGGCCCCTTGGAGGCTCAGACCTGCCGTTAACCACAACGGCCCACCCTATGGTCATGTTGCCTTTTGCAGATTGTTAATAAAGGACTTTCGACACCAGTCGCTGTCTCACAGGCCCGTTCTGGATCTTCGTCAGCATGTCCGCCAGATTGCTCTCAGTATTCTCGTAGGTGATGTTTGCCATGCCTGCAGCGACTCTCTCACGAACATAATGGTAGGCGACCGAATTGCTCTTCTTCTTCAAGGTAGATTCTGGGATACTTGAATTCTTGATTACTGACATGTTGTCCACCTTGACATGAGCTGGACCATCGAGAGGGACTCCCATCATCCTGAGCTTGTATCGCAAGCCTTCCACAATCTCGATTCCAACCTTCATTGCTGCGAATTCAGATCCAAAGGAAGAAGTCTCAATGGAGCCCTGCTTCTTGCTATACCAGATAATTGGGGACATGTTAGCAAAAACGAGTACACCAGTACGCGAACGACGTGTCACCTTGTCCCCAGCATGGTCAGAATCCACAAACATGGTGATTTGGATTGGTTTGCCAGGGGGCTTCGGCATGTCTGGTGGCAAAAGCTCTTTCGCATCGGCATAGAAATCGCTCCAGTCAGGTCGCTCTGGTTCCACATGGTTCACATAGGAAGGATCAAAAACAAGGTGAGAACGACTGTGCTGCTTGAGATATGCCAAGATATGAAACACAGCGTCCAGATGCCAACTCGTGGGGCTGCACAGTACGAAGCCATGATTGAAACCTCGGTGCAGATGTCAATTCTCCCGAGTTCCACGGCCCATCGTAGCACTCCAATCTGCTGTTGAAAGTAATTTGTCCACTCGTCATCACACAGGTTTGAAACATCCAATTCCGGGGTGTAATTGCTCGGTAACACTGAAGTTCCTTTCGACTTGAGCGTCTTCCCACGTCGCTCGAGCCATGTCTCCACATTTCTGACAGCCTCCTTGACATACTGTTCAGATCCCATTGACCAACAGGGTTTGTCAACGCCAGGGAGATTGTACTCCTTGACTGAAGCTCCAAGATACTGAGTTGGCTTTCCCAGGGATCCTGGCTTCAACAGGAAATGCTGGTCCAGATAGCAGAGTAAGGTGTTTGGGTTAGTTGATAAGCAAAGGAGGTCATCGGTGTAGACCAAAATATACTCATAGTATTCCCTTCCGTCAGGCCTGGTGGCTGCACGAACCTGACATCATTGTCTGCCTTACAAGAGGTGAACCCCAAGTTATCTCGCAAAACATCAGCTAAGTGGGCCCTCCATGCTGCTCCACTTGATTTGAGGCCATACAGGGCCTTGACGACCTTTGCCTTGCGTCCCTCAAATGGGCCAAATTCCTTACCGCATGTGATAAAGATCTTCTCTCGAACTGGCTGGGGCATTCAAATATGCATTGCCAATATCAGCTGCCAAGATATCCAAATCGTTCAATGCTGCAATCAGGAAAGCCAGTCGTACACTCTCACGACTGACAACACTGGCATAAGTGATGGAAGAAGGGGGGTCAGTCATGTGTCCTCCAGCGACCAAGCGTGCCTTTCTGGTGAAGTCACTTTTCACGTCAAAAACCATATGGCAACGGATGTGAGTATGGCCAACTGGATCAGGGGCATCCTCTTCCAAGATCTCAAAAGCTTTGCCGACGGCTGCCATCTCTTTCTTAATGGCATCATGCCAGAAGGTTGTACCAGTCTCCTTGTCAATCTCAAGGGCATGCTCCACTGTTTTGGGAAGCTCAACCCCATATTTCTGTTCCTTGCGAAAGTAACGCTTCGCGACAGCAGAGATAATCCGATTCCGCTTCTTGAGGGTGTAAGGGACCCACCAAGAGAAAGCTGGCTCTGACTCCAAGCCATTGTTCTGTGCATACTCTGCCGTCTGAATCAGGTAACCATCTTTCATGTCCTTAAGGGACTGCCATGAGGTGGTCCCATCCTTCCACTGACACAAAAGTTTCCACCCTTTGGTGGTCCGTCGCAAAGTCTTCCTGCCATTCCGATAGATGTAGGCGTCGTCCCCTGAAACAGCGTGTCCATCCTTCGCATGGTCCAGGATATCCGCCAGCTCAAACAAAGTGTAACCGTCATCGTCCACTTGAGCATAAATAGACTCCGCAATGATGTTGGCCGAGTAGGCCTCGGTCTCGCCACTGTCAAACTCCACCTCATAAAGGGAAGTATCAAGCAATGGGTTAGAATTCGAAAGACCAATCAGTTTTCCATCTGAGTTCCTCTTGCGCCTGGTGACTGTGCCATAAGACATTTGGTCTCCCTGTGGGACACAAACACGAGTTGCAATGTACTTATCGAAAGCCTCATGTTGCATCTCATCTGCTTCTGACAACTCTGGCAGAGGAGCTGGGTCACGGTCATCAATTGGCTCATAGTACTCTGGTATCTCTTCATCCTGACGAGATTCAGCATCATCACTGCTGGCCAAAACATAACGCTTGCCAAGGGACTTCTTAAGGGATTCTGTGAATGCTGCCTTCTTGGATTCAATCACCGGGCTCAGCTTCTCCTGGTCCGATAAGGGGATAACAGATGTCCTAGAGACCAACTGGCCCTTCTCGGTGAGGATACGGGCACACATAGCGTCCCCAATGTCAGTGCTGGGGCCACAGTAGCGACCAAGGCGCTTCCTTTCCATTGACTCGCCCTGTCTCTCAGGAGAAAGGTACCAAACCCAATCATACCATCCAAACTCACAAATATGTGAGATGTCAGCAGTGTCCCCTGTCAATAGGGTAGCGGGAACTTGGCCATCCAACTCTCGGATCAGTAATGCAGCGTGGCTGCGAGTCAGCCCGCAGAAGATGAAACACATGTCCCAGAGACATTCCAAGCTGTCAGTAGTCGTCATTGTTCTCCTGTAAGTTCTCTTCAGCTCTCGGATTAGATCTTCCGCAAAGTTCTGGTTGGGTGTGTAAGCCTCAACCGGATGGATAGGGCACTGAACTCGTTGTGCCTTTCGTCGGAACTCTCCCATAGTAAGCTCCTTCGCGTTGTCTGGAATCAGGACTCTCGGTACTCCAATCTTCTGGAAAAGTGAGTCTAAAGTCAAGTGAGCCTCCGACTTGGTCTTCATCGGGTCAACATGGCACCAATGAAACGGTGTGCAGTAGACCTGGGCACACTTGTTTCCCAGGAGGGAAGTGACCTTGCCGTAAACAGTGTCGGTATACATTTCAATGTTGAGCCGAGGATATCTGAGTTGATACGCCAATGGCTTCATCCTCCGCCCTCCACTCGTGTGGGTGAAATCACGAACCGCTCGCTGAGTTGTGTTCGCGATGGTTTTCTTGGCTGCTTCCAACCCAATATTCCACCGCTTGGCAAGTGCTTCCGCTGACACGGCTCCCTTCCTGGTAGGGGGTTTCGTCTTGGTAGCAGAGATCTGGGCTTGAAGGGCTGGTCCAAGACTGTTGACATCAATTGCAACGGATGATCTTGACTCCAGAATTGACCTGATCGACTGAATTCGCCTATTCCGTCCCCTTTCACTTGGCATGTCCGAATCCAAAGCGGCTCTGAGAGAGGACTCGAGGTCAGCCGACTGGGGATCTTGAGGGTTCCAAGGAGATTCGGATGTCATGTGAACGTGAATGAAGGTGCACACGGCTCTTAGCCTTATTCGCGACTCGATCCTAGATAGGGTTTGAGTTCGACTCATGACTGAGTCTCTCGTGAATAGTCATTTGAGACAGGGTTCTCAATGACCGCGCTAGTCATACTAGGTTGATGATGAAACATCGCTCTAGATATTTAGCTAGCGTGGAGTACTTCCACGCTACTAGATCCAGGCTAGACAAACCTTCCACGCGTTCCGTTTTAGGATCGTGGAAAGACGTAGGATTACTACCACAACCTACTCTATCACACTTTACAGTCTCCCGCAGGAAGCCAGATCTACGATCCCTTGATGATGATCTCTCTCGTTGATTAGTTTTCATAGCTTTCTAATCTCTCTCATAACTTTCATTCTCTCAAACTCAAAACACTCGAAAGATCTTTACACTAGCTTTTAGCGTAGTGCACACCCATAAAACCAGTGACAAGTCCCATGTCTGGCCAAACAGAATTCTAAGTGAGGTGATGAACAGCACATGTAGCATACCAACAGAGTGGTATTTGTGGCTAGAACTTACCGTGGTATTGTGGAACCCATAGGACTTCAACATCATCAGGTTTCAAACAATCAGTCAAAGAAACTCCAGCCTTGCACGTTTCAGACAAATTGTCATGGCTGATCATGACTCCCTTGGGACGTCCTGTGCTGCCGGAGGTGTACTGGATGAAGCAGATATCTTCGGGCTCTCCCACAAAAATCTCGTAATTTTTTGGCTTGCTGGGGTTGCTCTTCTTGATTGGTAGTTTGTCAGTTCCAATCCATGCAACACCTGTCTTGTAAAGGACACTAGCAGCAGTCATACCAGCAGCAAACATATTGGTGGAGAGTGCAAACTTGGCTCCAGCATCCTCCGCAAATCTGCGGAACTTTGGCATATCTGTTTTGAGCTGGTTGGGATTGGGTGGATAGATGGTGCATGGGATGACCCCGATTTTCATGGCTCCAAACATACCGGCCAAGAACTCGAGGCCAAAGGGATAGGCAATCATGACACGGTCTCCCTTTTCACACCCCAGCTTGAGGAGACGGGCAGCCACGGCATTGGATTGGTCTTCGACCTGTTTGAATGTCATCTTGTTTCTCTCTTCGCAGTGTATATCGACCCAAGTAAAGACGATCTGGCCTGGAGTTTCCGTAGCATGATGGCTGAGGGCATCAAGGATGGTGGAGAAGGATTTCATCTTGCCTCTGATAATAGCGAGTTACTTGGTGAACAGGAAAATGGTCCAATGCAGCAATGGAGTAGAGCTGGGGGGATTGTGGCTGTCTGTTTTTGTGGTAATGGTGGTTACTAATGCAGTCAGAGGGGAGTTTGTGGTTAGTGAGGTTACTAAGCGAACGGCAGAGATGCTGGATCGATCGAGCTGAAGGACAGAGGAAGGTGGCTGTGCCTATGTTTAGGGCTAGAGATTCGTCTGTGCCAATGTTGTGTGGAGTTTGTGGTTAGTGTTGTTTTCAAGCCATCGGCGGAGATGCTGGATCGAGCTAAAGGACCGAGGAAGGTGGGGGATGGGCAAATCTTGCAATAGCCCTGTGTTGTGATGGAGCGTGACTCGCCAAAATCAGTTAAAAAGACGAAATTCGTATTTTTGCCAGAAGATAAATTTAATTGGATTGCATTGGATTGGATTGCATTGAATTGGATTGAATTGGATTCCAAATAGTACTGTTATATATATAGTAAACTGTAATTCAATGCAATCCAATCTAATCCAATGCAATCAAATCAAATCCAATAGAGAAAAACAGCCAAAGTAAAAGATTGGCTTAGCCCACACAATTTTTACAAAAACGCTCTAATAAATTCAACACAGAGCCATGGGCAAGTTTGCTCGTCCCCGTGGCTGTGCCTATGTTTAGGGCTAGCTAGAGACAATGTTGTGTGCTTTGCCAGTCATGTCAGAGTAGACTAAGGTACCAGAGAGCGAGCATTGGCAAGTTAAAGTTCAATCACGAGTAGTTGGCATTAAATAAATATTTAGAGCCCCTCTACCCTCTCACCTGTGATACCATAGAGGAACAAAACTACAAGTCCTCACGGACAGCCTAAAGAGCTTTTTTATTGAAGCCAGCATGCATAATACAGATGGATCCAAAGTAACTGTCGAGATCGAAGCGTCATCTCCTGTCAACGCGACAATGAATGGCACCAGTCCACAGTCCTTGGCTCTTGGAAATCCCCTTTTGTGAGAAGCAAGACTTAAAAGCTTCCTTTATTGGTGTTTCCCGTGGTGTTTTTCAAGATGGTTTGTGTTCTTCCACCAAGTTGGAGTTGAGCAGCTGAGGGTGACAAGGATCTAGACAAGAAAGCATGTTCTCAAAGCAACCTAAATCTAGTTGGAGGCAGGTGAAAGGGGCACAGGGTGGGGATATCACGCCTGTACAATGAGGACAGCTCCATCTAGTAGCATCCTTGGACCCCCGCAAAAGGAAGGACCTACTTGCTCAAGGAACTACTCAAGGTGATGCAGGTAGGTGGGGATTTCTGTAGATTGCATACAGAGATGATTCTCAAAGCCATATATGCACACAATAGGTGGTGCAGTACTTAATTTTTTTATTTGAGGGTCCTAGGTGGCGGTGGGGCAATCGGAGGCTCTGGCTGTTTGGACATCCTGTGTTACCCAACCCTGCGAGTAAACAGCAACGACAACCGTATGCCTACTGCTTGAATCGAATCATTAGAAGATTTTAATTCCACACGTTCTGTGTTAGAAATACCAACTAGCTAGCCAGCCAGCGCAAGTTCCGTCGGAGCTTGCTTGTGATCAAAAGCGTTTCGATGTTCTCCCCTTTACCTATGAATGCCTACCACGATATGAGTGTCCAGAGCAACAACGGCGAGGCAGATGACAGTCCCGGTACAAAGTGTCCCCTACCGTACCGGTACCGGATTTGAAATCCACATCTCTCAAAACCCCCGATTCGCCCCCCTCCCAACAAGCGATCCACATCAATCGTCCTCGACGGCCGACGGGAGTCGCACGGGCAGTGAAGCATTGCTGTTAACGCTCGACTGTCGTTGGCGCATAGTTGTCGGTGGTGCAGGAACGGCTGCCTCTTCCACCAAGGACGGAAGTCTTCGAGGCACTGTAGCGTTGCTGTGGATGGAGGAGCTAATCTTGGTGTTGGCATCCTCTTCGGAGGTTCTCGTTGTTTTTTGGTGCGTCGATCCTTCATCCGAGAATGTTTCCAGATTGGTACTACTACTACTAGTGTCGTCCATGTTGTCATTCTCCAGTACAGCAGAGATGGGTCGTGCTGGGAGCTTGGGTGGGGCAGCTTCGGCGGAAACTTGGTCAAAGTGATGATGGAAGGAACGTAGCTGCCCCTCGGGAAGAACGGGTGGTTCACCACCATACTCCCAGCTTTCGGTACCATAGGAAGTCATGGATAGATCCGAGATGGACGAGACGGCACGCCGGCTTCGAGTTGGAATGGATCGTCTGTCCTCGGCAGAAGCTCTACCACAACTGACTGGTGCGACATGGTTGTGCTGATTCCAGGATGCTTGATTCTCGCTGGGTCGCGTAGTAGTTCCCGCCAGCTCAGGATCAGGTGCTTCGCTGGGAGGAATCTCGGAGGAGCCTACCCACTGACAGGCGGCGCTGGGTGATGGTTCTCGGTTGGCAACAACATCCCCACTTCGGATGCTGTTGGTACGGTCTCCCGACTGTTCCTTCTGCTGAATAAAGAACTTGGGCAGAAATGTCAATGTCAGCAAGGACATGGCCACTACAAAGACAATGGTGCTCTTGACAAAGTAGGCCACCTGGGGACTGTCAGTCACCACTGCCAAGATGGGGATTCCACTCAGGAATGCTTGCAGCATGCTTCCCATGGCCATGGCAATGTACTTGCCCTCGCTGTACATGGTCGACAGCCCTCGCGCCCGGTAGAGCTGCACCAAGGATGACACCACCGCCATAAAGTTGACCAACACGAGCAGGATGGAACAAGTCACAGAGAAGACACTGTCATTGAACGAACAGTATCCCACCGAAGCCACTCCCCCCTCGGCGCTGCTGCTGCTACTGCTGTCCTCCCGCATCCAAACCAAGGGATCGACGATGGTCCAAATGCTCAGAATGGTAACATTCAAGGAACAAATGACGACAAAGGGGACCATGACATCGCTCGTAGAGACAGTGACACGCCGAAACTGCTTGGTATTGGCGACAATCATGTTGATGCGTCGAATCTTGCTAAAGAGCGCGGCAAATGTAATGGAGAATCCCATACTCAGCAACCACGGAAAGGCCATGCAAGCCTTGTCACAGCCATCATTACTACCAGCAATGGAATCATCGATACTGAGGGGAATGATACTCAGCCCCATAATGAGTACGCCCCCGCACATCATATGCAGAAAGACGGGTTGCGAGGCGCGAATGACACGATGATCCGCCTGTCGTACGACCCATACGGACCATGCCACGGCCGATGCCACAACGAGCGCCGATAAGACCAATCCGTACGGTCGTACTCGCTCCAGTGTTTCTCGATGCACCACGGTCAAGTGGACATTGGTGGTCAGGACGGCATCAAAGTAACAGTTATCTTGTTCGTCGGCATCCTCGACCGTGAGGGCAATGACTCCCGCATATCCTACTCCACCGTGATCATCATTGAGTCGAAAGTGAAGCGTCACGTTTTGTCCCGCCGGTAGGATGGCCGAATAGTCGTTTGGATTGACCACGTCTTGTTCAAACGCCCATTCGGACACGGGAGAGAGCAATCGCAGCCAAGACGGCATCTTTTCCATGCGAATGCGCACATTGAGACTGCCCGTGTTTTGAATCACCATTTGGGTTCTTGGTGTCGTTTGGGTGGATTCTTCTTCGTCTTGACTAGTACTGCTGTCATTGTCTGTGTGCATGGCTGTTGTTGTGGTTTGTAGAAACAATCCTTCCCCCGGTGATGGTTCCACGACTTGCACGGCCATGGCGGAATCGAGTTCATCCTGTGGAACAAAGAGGAGCGTGACCCAATCGGCCACGGTGGGCCACCGTTCGTAGAGCACATAGTAGGATGTTGCTTCCTGCTGTCCTGTCAGTGTAATATCGAGTTTGGTAAAGGACCGTTCTCCCGGTTGCAAGGCTTGTACTTGTGTCGCCAGATGCTTCCAATTGGCATTGTCAAGAAGCGTGGGCGGTTGGACAAGGGTATCACTGACTTGATAGGTTTGATTGCGTCGATCCAACAGAATGGTACCACTCGAGGGATCATTGTTGCGGTAAGTGACCCTGGCTTCTTCCATGCCCGTGCGAGTGGGATATAGCTTTTGAACGGTGGACTGAGAAATGAGAATGGTGTGGAGGGTACTACTTGTGGCAGATACGACCATGGCAAAGCTTCCTGGAGTGGCGGTGCCTTCCAGTGGTTCTAGTAAGAGCGAGGACATGGATGCCACAGAAATGTCCACTCCTGTACTGGCAATGTACGTCCCATACGGATTGCTGTATCTTAAGTGGTCTTTTTGGTTGTCGGATGATGGATCAGTTTTAGGATAGTGAAATCCCATGAATTCGCCTGCAAAGTAAATGGGCGCCTGTGCGGTAATGAGTGAAAGTCCGGGAATGGCAGTATCCGGATACGGTGGTGTAAAGTATGGCTTGTGAATAATGTGGGGTGGTAGATTGGGTTGTACAAACTCTTCTTGACGACTATTATAATGATCTCCTGCGACATCGGCAAATGTCATGGGATGTTGTCCCGTGATTTCTTGAAAGGGAGGATAGTACATCCAGGCTTCTCCACTACTGCCAATCCAAGCCGCCACATACAGGCGGTCGTCTTGTTGAATAGAAGTACTAGTAGTACTGCTGTTGTTGTCTCTAGAAAATGCTGTACTAGTACTGTCATCAGTACTGCTGTTGTTGTCTCTAGAAAATGCTGTTCGTTGAACCATCCACGGAAAGATATTGGCAACACTGTCAATGAGCGCCAGATCGGTTTCCTTGGTTCCCACAAAGGGTGATGGATTAGCCAGACTGACCACTCGTTCCACTCGTCGATTGGGACGATCGTCCGCGTACCCCAATCCCACGGACAGCGTCGTTGCGTTGGTAGAAACATTTCGGGCTAGAGTATCCAAAGAATGCGCCAATTGGTCGAGTGTCATCATACTGCTGGCACCCACTGATCCTTGGAGATTCTTGTTGTACGCGGCTTCCACCACGTAGCAACGAATGTACTCGACATCTTCCAGAGATCCTTGAAAGGCGCGACGGATCGAAACACTCGACAACCGCAGTACATCCAGGCCACCCGATAGACTGCAGATGCGGAGACTACTGCTACCGTCATCGTCTTGGTTGGATGGAGTGGCAGTAGCACAACTGATTAGGAGTAATAGCAGTAGCAGCAGGAGTCTCATCATCATCATCATGATCATCATCATCAAGGATGTCTCTGGCTATGGTAGTCTAGTACTGTCTAGTACTGTAGAATGATTGGTGAGCTTTGGTCTGAAGATACCCCGCTCCACAAAAGATCGAGCTGATTGATAGGGAAGTGATGAAGTAAGTGAAGTAACAAATAAATGCTGAGGAACCGCGGGAGCTACAGGTTCTAGCTAGCTAGCTCTAGAGCTAGACTGCAACATGTATCCCATTTCTTTGGTTTCTCAAACCAAAGGGCCGCCCCTGAGAGGAGTTGGGTCTTGGCCAAGATTATTACAGTTACTTGAACCAAGTAAAGTCAGCAAGTAAGTAAGTTTCGAACATTATTCGAGCTTTTTTAAGAGTCATGCATCCACAAGTTCCCATTGTTCCCTGGCGGGACCATGCTCAGTAGAAAAACGCGATACTGAAGACATGTTCCAGTTTCAAATAATTCCAACTTTCCGACTGCTTCTGAGACCAATGACACTGAAGTGGGAATTCAGTAGATTGGACACTCTCAACATCGCCGAGCAAAAACATCACTTTCTTGGTGGAAGAATTAGGTGCTAGGAGCAGTTTCGGGCATACCAGAACAAAATTAATGACCCAGGTTCTGCGAATGCGTGTAACCTACTCTTGAGAATCTTGAGATACTGTACAGCTGAGATACTATTATATAACACGTACGTTTCCTACTAGTACCGTACCAGCAGATGCTCTATGAACGGTGTGAACAAACGAGAAAACGAGAAAACACCAGTAGAAGCATTTATTTCGTTCAAGTGCCTGCATAACCACTGTACTGGCGGGACATGATGTGCGCATGACTGCCTGGCACCCTGATGAGTTCTCTTCTCTCTGGAATCTGGAAGCAAGCTAATCTGGAAGCAAGACGACTGACTGGTTGGGGATTGCTGGTAGATGCGGTAAATAAATCAAAACAAACGTTACCTCAACAGCCTTTCAAACAAATGTCGTTTCTGATGATCGATACAAGGTTAGGAGTAATTTGCACCACAAAAAAACACAATCGAAAACACAATCGAAAACACCAGATCCCGGACAAAAGTTGAAGAAACAACGGGTTATGTATTCCAAAGCTCTATTGATTATTGATACCACTGGACCTAGCTAGCTAGCTAGCCCAGTAGTTGGATCTTTCTAGCTAGCTTGCGCCGCAAAACAACACTCTGCACTCTCGGGGTTCGAACTTGAACGTTCCACTCAAGAAGAATTGACCTACAGCACCTACAACGCAGCACAGGACCTATCTTTTCCTCACAATTCACTTCGACAGCTCTTTTGACCATGGGTTCCCGGACAGCCCAAGCTGCCAGATAGATGATTGATAATTATTTACTCTCAGACAGGATCAGATGTTGCATGGAGACCTGTGACAGGCCTCTGCACAACAAAATCACTTTGCTTGTTACCGGCAACTGAGCTTTTCTATCTGCTTTGCTTGCTCCTCTTCTCTTCTGTTGCTACCAGAATCCTGTACCACAAGAGGAATACCACAAGTCGAGCATCCTTGCCTACAAGCGATGATGAGAGCGATTGCCGACAACCGCCCACACATCCTACATACATGGACACCATCAGACGCTTTCTCACAATAGATAGAATTTAATTAATCTTCCGCAAAAGCTTATTTAGGACTTCCTTTTCCATGGACAATCGGAGCAATGCTCTCGACAATTTGGTACCGGTACAAACTTAAATCTCGTAAACTGATGAATTCGGCGAAGGGAGACTCAGAGAACAGTCCGCAATAAGTACCAGGTAGTAGTAATCTCCTGGAGTCAGTTCCAAGAGAATGATGCATTCACGCCAACACGCTCCTTCCTTGATATTAAGCCATTCTGATAGTATTATGATGTGAAGTGCTTTGGTTTGCTGGAATGCCAAGATACTGGAGACTCTCATCAGAACTGCACTGTAGCTAGAGAGAGAGCTAATAAGATACTCAATTAGTACTGGTACTCTAACTTGGGCAAATCAGAGATTGAGAGATGATACAGTGATACTCTTTACAACAAAAAGCCTATTAGAAAGGTGCCAAATGGCAAATGATTTTGCCTTCGGAAGTTGATAATCTGCTCTGTCCTTTCTCTTCACCTTAGGTATGATTGGTTGGCAAGGTGGGAAGCAGAGTAGAATTGTCCCATGGCACTCTCTTCCTAGTCAGAGTATTGAGATACTACATTACACTGGTGATGGATCCTGAGCTAAGGATATAAGTCCAGAACATTTGTTATACCGGAACTGCTAAGATTCAGACAGGACTGTAACCAACTTCGAGATACTTATAACTTAATATCAAGGTAGCAATGTAACACTTGCTTGTGTAGATGCGTAGATCCGTCAGGCTCCCAGCCGCGAATGGAGCTCTTGTTGGTGTTGTTTTGGTCATCTTCCGCGATAGTGGATACTCTGCTCTTGTTAGCTACTGACTAGCTACCGGTAGTACGACCGGTATTACCTGCGTTGCAATAGAGCTTAGTGACAGCCGAGAGCAAGAGTCCACAGACTCCCCATTTGCTACATGACTTTTTAAAAAAGGGTATACTATCCATTATCCTGCGTCTCTCATCAGATAACAGATCAGAGAGTGGCCATGGATCCCTCCACACAGCAGAGCCTAGGCAAATTGGCTACCGGTACGACCATGGAGGGAGATACCACCGGTACCGGCATCGGCATCGGTATTCCACCCTCTCCGTCAGGGAAGCAAGCCATGAAACAGTTGAAGGGTGACCTGGAAGCGGCGGATGCTGCCATTCGAGGATTGGCCTTTGCGAGCAATGGCGCAGCCAAGACGGATGCTCCGAGTAATAGTAGCAAAACGACAGACTTTCCAGGTAGCGCGGTTGGAGTGCCTGCCAATACTGCCTCTTCCCTACCCATCAGTGCCGTTGGTCTACCCATCGTCGACGCTATCAACGGAATCAACAGCTCCCAGCAGGATCGCACCGTCACCGAAGTGGCACCGGTCCGAGATACCCCAGACAGGGAACGATCCAACAATAACGAAGGCTTAGCGGTAGCAGCACCCGTCACTGACGACCCCCGTGATATTGAGCATGCTCGTCCAGTGATACCCGCAAATGAAGTGGAACTGGAAGAGAAACGCAAACAGCGCAACTTTTGGATCGCCATTGGAATCCTCACTGCGGTGGCGGTGATTGCATTCCTTGTTATCGCGTTGTCTGCGTTAAAAGAAAAGGAGAGCATCTCATTAGTACCCAAAGAAGAAAGCCAGTCCAATCTAAGTGATGATACTGGAAACGCAACGTCTACTCCCCCCAAATTGCCTCAAGACATCTTGACGGCATTGCTTCCAGCCTATACACTACCCAAAATTGAGCTTGACTATGCTCCGCAGGCAAGGGCGTTCAAGTGGGTCGCAGAAGACCCAAACTTTGCCAGCTACTCTGACAAACGTCTGCAGCAACGATTTGCCCTGGCCACATTCTACTACAGCACCAACGGAGAATCATGGGGGCCCGACTGGCTCAACATCACCCAGCACGAGTGCCAATGGGACTTTTTCATGCCGGACGGATTTAATTACAATAGAGTCAGAGGGCCCGACCGCTATGAACTCCAGTTCATTGATGGTCCCTGTGTTCCCCTTGGATACAACAGCAGCAACACCAACATGCCAGGAGGAGGAGAGTATCCAGACGATTACCTCTACTTGACACTGTGGCGCCAAGAGGTAACGGGGATCATTCCACCAGAGATTACCATGCTGACATCACTCAAATTGGTTCAGTTGGATTACACAACAATGGGAGGTCCCATTCCCACAATCCTGACCAATCTCACGGGACTTCGCGAGCTACACGTATTCAATACTGCCTTTACCGGAACAATTCCAACGGAACTCGCTCTACTGACAGAACTGCGCACTTTGTCCATTGGTGGAACAGAAGAGATACGCGGAACTCTGCCCTCTGAATTTGGTCGCCTCTCCAACATTCAAGTTTTGCAAATTGGCGAAAGTGGCGTCACGGGAACAATCCCATTGGAATACAGTGGTCTCCGGCCTCTCCTGTTTCAACTGTATCAAAATCGGTTGAGCGGAACAATACCGACCGAGTTGGGGCTGATGTCCACTGTCGAGTGGATTATGCTCGAACGGAACGATTTCGTAAGTTTCAAGGTGGACATGTTGTATCCACGGTTTTGAAAACCTTAATGGCTGACACCTCGATCCTTTTGTTCACTGCAGACCGGGACTGTGCCATCCGAGCTTGGTGCTCTTGAGAAAGCCATGCTCATTTATCTACACGAAAATGACTTGTCCGGTACAATCGCAACGGAATTGGGGTTGTTGACAAGCACCATGCGGCAGATCTATCTTCACACGAATTCGTTGACTGGAACGTATGTACATGAGTCAAGTTTGCCTTGCGTACAACAGTCAGAGCTATGACATCGAGGATACTCACTCAGCTTATTCGTGTCTCCTGATAGCATCCCTACTGAACTGGGCCAGCTCAGCGAAATATTCTGGAGACTACGGTTTGACAGCAACAATCTGGTGAGTTATTTTCTCGCGACCTCGCCACAAGATCACAACAGCTTTGTAACACAACTCAAACTTGCTCTGCATTTGCATGCGTGGCTTTTGAAGACTGGAACAATCCCAAGCGAACTAGGAGCATGTTCCCTACTGCACAGTTTTGGTGTTCATAACAACATGCTGACAGGGATTATCCCACCGGAGGTAGCAGCATTGCCACGCATGGAATACTTTCGCGCCAGCAACAACAACCTCAGCGGAATGTTTCCAAGAGAATTCCTTCTGGACACTGGGAGCAAGATGATTCAATTTTGGCTGGAGCACAGCTCCATTTCTGGTAGCATCCCAACTGAGGTTGGCAAGTGGACCAAGTTGGTTCAATTCAGAGTTTCTGGTAACAACTTGACTGGCCGGATACCATCAGAGCTGGGGACTTCAAGCAAGCTCAAGATTTTCCATGCTGAGTCTAACCTGCTAACTGGGCAGATCCCGTCTGAGATTGGGAATATCACAACCCTCAAAGAGTTCTCTGTTGGGGACAACAGGTTGACTGGGACAGTTCCAAGAGAGTGTGGTTTTCTGGTGACTGATGGGGCATTGACACTATTGAACTTGACCAACAATGACGGCTTGTTTGGAACAATCCCTGATAGTGTCTGCTCAATCTATGATGACCCTTCCCTGATCAACATCCTGGAATTTGATTGTGGGATCCTTTGTGGCTGCCATTGCCCTTGTGAGAATGTATCAGCGTTAGCCCTGCAAAATGGTGTAGTCGTCGCTCCAGGAAAAGCTGGCCAGCACTAACTGCTGATGTGGTTCATTTTCTGTTGTTCTGGTGAATTATTAATACATACTAACTTGAGTTATAATCTATGCAGTACCAGCAGACAGAACTTCACTTCTAAAGGGAGCAGCCATTCCCTCTTGCATGGGGGGGGGGGGTGATCTTCCATGCTGGTGCTTCCGGCTTGGGGTCAGAAGGGGGGGGTGCTCTCCCTTTTGCCAATCATCCCTCTTTACACTAATTCTGCTGCGAAAGCATTCATTGAGTATAGAGAAAAGAAGACTGGGAGGAAAGATAGGAAAAGAAGGAGAAGAAGAGGAGGGGAGCTTATTGGCAGAGTATCTCATGTTTCATGAACTCTGATTTCCTTCAGAGAAGGGTGCTATGAAACCCTTGATTGTGATTTCCATTAAAAAGAAGAAAAATCACCCAGACCAGTAGACACCTGCTCAGCACTACGAAGTTGGATGTGTGATCCTTTCCCTTTGAGAGCTGCTTGCTGTGCTACTCACGCTGTGTTGGCTTGTCTCCCAAGAAACCATACAGTCTGTGTCACAGTTTTCTAGTGCCATTGGTGTCACTGAACTTGGTTGTGTTGGGCAGATTCATTCATAACTGAAACCTGGTCTGCGGTCTCAGCCAAGCAGCAGGGCCAGACCATACCGTTTCCGGTATGGTGGTTTACTATCCCCCCCTGTAAAACTTCCGTGAGGCCTCCTACTAGCTAGCTAGAGTACTGTTCTTTTCTTGACGACTTTGAAGCTACCGTACTATGGCGCAACTTTGAAGCTACCGTACTATGGTGTTTAGAGTGAGGGGTGGCAGAGGATGAGGGTGTTGTGTTGTGTTGTGTCGGCTCTCCGACCTACAGGTACTGAGTATCAAATGCAGCAAAAGTGAGAGTGCTTCCTTTGCTTGACAGATGACAGAGGCAACCCTTGAAACCATCAGGACTGTTCGCGTTCAGTGATTGAGTTTCAAAACGTCTAATACGTAATTATTGATGCTTCTATGCCCTGTTTGGTCTTGCGAACTGTGATCACCTGGTGCATGCCAGTTCATCATGGGACATTCAAGGTTTCCCAGAAAAGCAAATTGAACGATTATTGCAATAGCCGATGCATAGGTTCCCCCCAATGTCCTACTAGCTAGTTCTAGTACCCGAGTACTGGAGTTCTGGTACTAGTACCGGTACCATGCACGTTCCACTCATCAGTGTGGTGCCGTGAATTGAAGAGCACTTTGATACTAAGTCTTGTTGTTTTAAGGGCAAAGGTGTGACCACCATAGTAGAACGATACGAACAGCTGTCGCCCGTCGACCATGCACTATTCACACACCACCAACAGCCCATTTTGACACACCATGTTCTATCAAAACATGGCAACAATAATCGGCAATCACTTTTTTTCTTTCTCACAAAACTTGGCTGAATGTCATTCAAAGCACATTGGCACTCCAAACCTCAAACAGATAAGGCATAACACAATTAAAGACCATGGGCCGCCCTGACGCCGCCGCCGAATCTTCGAGCCCTAGTACTACCCGTTCCGGTACTAGGCCCACGATCCCTCCAATGAGACAGGAGGTGGCCGCAGCCGATGCTACCATTCATGAAAAGCAGGTCGTAACCAACGTGATAGTAGCAACTTTACCAAGAGACATCAAGTCTGATTCGGCAGGTGCTTTGCCCAAAGATCTCAAAAGTTTAATGTTGACATCTGGCACCCTACACGACACTACAGGTACGCCCACCGAAGCTTCGGATGTCACAAGAACCCACGACGGGGCAACGATAGGAACCGAAACAAATAACAAGGATACCAAGTTGGCCATCAGTGTTGGCCCTACCCAAGTACCATCAGGAGTCAACAACTCCAATCAAGGGGGCGGCACTGAAGTGGCCATGACGACTTTGCGGAGATCTGCTGCAGGAGCGCAGGGAGCCCTCGCACAGCCCGGTGCATACAATGTGCTTGGCCCAAACAGTGCGGATTTTCGTGAGAGTGCACCCGCCACAATGATGCAATACACGGCTCTTAGCCTTATTCGCGACTCGATCCTAGATAGGGTTTGAGTTCGACTCATGACTGAGTCTCTCGTGAATAGTCATTGAGACAGGGTTCTCAATGACCGCTCTAGTCATACTAGGTTGATGATGAAACATCGCTCTAGATATTTAGCCAGCGTGGAGTACTTCCACTACTAGATAAATGCTAGACGAATCTTCCACGCGTTCCTTTTTGGATCGTGGAGTGAGTAGGATTGCTACCGCAACCTACTCTATCACACTCTACAGTCTCCCGTGGAGTTCAGATCTACGATCCTTTGATGTGGATCTCTCTCGTTGATTAGTTTTTCATAGCTTTCTAATCCTCTCATAACTTTCATTCTCTCAAACTCAAAACACTCGAAAGTCTTTACACTAGCTTTTAGCGTAGTGCATTTTGTTAACAAACACAAAAAGCTTTCAGCTACCCTCAAACTATTCCTCACCATGAAGATTGCCAAAGACGCATACACCAGCTTCGAGTCTAAGCTGCGCGAAAACCAATCCTTCCTCTCATCGACTCGATGATGAATGCGAAACGACGATTCTCGCTCACACCTACAAACTTCGCACTGTTCCAGCAGATGCTAACAGCCAAGTACACCTTCAAGTCCAAATCATAATGGATCTGAGAACTCCACGTCAGACCATCAAGTGGGCTGGACGCATGGAGAGGTCTTCGTTGGCTCGCCATTGCTACGCCTACGACAAACATAACCTCCTCAAGGAATGACTTCTAGCTCTGCAAAGAGCAGTTACGAATCTAGCTGTGCAGGCCACCGTGAAGTACGTTGGAATGCCTTGCGCCAGATTGCAGTCAACGCATTCCTCCACGCGACATACGTGGGGTGAAGACGAAGCCACTTTCCAAGCACGTTTCAGACCCTGGAACGGAGCAGCTCAGCCTGCTTTGGACGATGCTGACATTACGTTTGGCATAAATGCTGTATCGAAGCGGTCTGCCTACAAGGCTCTTGAAAAGCAGAAACGCTTCATGCGGCAAGATGCGTAAGCCTGTGATATGTCTACTCGGGCTTATGTCAACAACCTCAGTCGATGAACACCGATGAACTTCCTCGTCTACCACCTTTTGGACCCAACCAAACTGAACATGACGAAGTCATAGACATTGTTTGTCATGGAATCACGCTCGTGGATGAAGAAGATGGACAACACGACTTCGATCCTTTCTCAACTCCTATCGGAGAAACCATGGATTCTGCGAACGCATGGAATCCTCCGAAGACTTTGACAAGGCGGTGATGCCAAGCAAGCTCCTACGAAGAAGAAAACAGCAAGAAGTACAATCTACTCGTAACAACGACCACTCTTCCAAGAACGAAGAAAAATGGTGCGACTACCACGATCAGCACTCACAACACGGATGATGACTCTGAAGAAGCTCAAGGCCAAGTCTCCAGTCCTCGTCGACAAGGATCCATCAACATGATGAACAAGAAATGGCTGCCGTTGACAAGGCCTTGCCGAATTCGACTTCAATCATTCGGATGGAGAGATCTCGTCTGAGGATTAGGCCAGGAAGATGATTCAATGGAACCATGTTCCGATTTCTCATACGAAAGTGATGAAGATATCTACTAAATAGTAACAAGATTTATTTGCAACTAATGAAGTCTACGGCAAATTAGATAATGTCCTAGCAACTACTCAACTAAAATAACTGATCTGTTCAGCATCGTAATATTCGGTGGCCATACAGATACAAACAATCGTATCAATGCCAATCACTATCACGTCGCAAGACAAGAGCTCGAAACTATCGTCTATCTTAGATTAACAGACAGAGAAAGGGAAACAAAAACCCGTACACTCTGTTGCTTACTGGATAGCAGGAGCATCCCGGAACATCTAAGAAGCGCATAATGGGTGTCTCGCGAAAACAGCGAGGTCTGAAGGTACCGAACGACATGCGTCCCTAGGCGATTGGTGACTCATTGCTCCCGGATTTGGATGGTGTTTGTTGTGGAACAGTGTACTGGGGTCTCCATTGGGTGTGGCAGTATGCACCGTTTGGAACCCTGCATGCATCTAAAAATCTCCCAACCCCTATAGGTACGACCTACTTCAGTCGAGTTTTGGTCGGCGTTTGTCCGCCATGCAATACCAATGAACATGGAAACTACCATACAGAATCCCGTACAGAGCGGTTTGGGGTTAGCTTTTGGTAACCACACTCACATTGTGTAAGGTCGTGTAGACTTTGCCTAAGGTATTACAGTTCCTTTATACGGGCTAGCGATCGGCAATTACTACTAGCTTGCTACTACACTACTAGTTGTATCATGGGTTATTGGTATTGCGACTACTGTAAGCTTGGTTTGAAAGCAAGAGGGCACTAGTGCCACACCAACCAATCTCGGAGTTGCATTGCAGCAAGGAGATTTCACTTGGCATTGGCAAAGCAACAAGAAGTACTAGTACTAGGAGAAAAAGGGACATGACTACTGCAGGGCTTGGTGCCACTGACACTGGAAAACCCGCTAAAGCACCACGGCAAGTTAGAAGATCTGCAGGAGAGGAGAGAGGCAATCAAGTCAAATGCCAGCCATTCCACAAGACATGGTGGAGGAAGATAAAATTGCTTGGGCCATGCAAGATGGTGGTGGTATTGGTTTTGAAAGCGAGGAAGACAATAGAAAACCAGCAGCTGACCGCGGTTTGGTACCCGAGATGACGGCAATGAGGAAGCAAAAGAGGAGGCAGAATGAGGAAGCCATAGAGGCAACTGATGAGGAAGGAAGTGCGACGATTCGCAAGAAGACACAGATGATGATGATAGTAATGAAGATGTTGATGAGACCAGCAGTGGGGGATCAACAGCTACCCTGGTAACAAATTCCCAAGGAATGGAACCATGACAATGAACCTCAGACGATAGGAACATCACCCAATTCCGGCAATATTGTGCAGATTCAAAGAAGACGTTCCTCCCTTTGGATAAGAAACAGG